TGTCGCTTTGCGTTAATTAAAATACATCTTGGGGGCCGGGTGAATGTGATTAACATATGAATGGGACATTGTCCGCATAAATTTGCCATTGATTGGGACTGTGGCTGGCGGTTCTCCGGTGTGGCTGGTCTCTGTGCCCTGTGGTCACTTGACATCTTAAGCGCCAATAGACAAGCCGCAGCGGTGGCGACCTCGAGGCGCCTGCAAAAGAGTTTCCGGTATTTGGGCACTCCGGGGTTATCCAGGGGTTATCCTGCTGGAAGACATGCTGTGCTACCGTTTTTCGGGCTGCTCCAACCTTTTAATGTGCCATTCTCCCGACGCGTCGCACATAATTATGGCGGATGTGCTGCCAAACGAAGCGTTAAGTCGAATTCTCGGCTCCTCTCCGGACCCACAATTTTACCACCCAGCTCCTCAGAACCCAGATCCCAGTTGCCAGTTGCCATTTGTGCTCTTTCATGGCTTTCAGGCCATGCATGTATTTTATTTTTTATGCATTATCATGTAACTGTGTGGCTCCCAGCTTGCTGTTATTGTTGTGGCGGCTGCGTCGTCTTTCATTATTATTTATGCTTTATTTATATTTGTACGCACTTCCTGGCCGTAAACCCCTTACTTGGCAGGCTGCGGCTGCCACACGGCGTATGCGTCATGCACGCCTACATGCTCGTGTATCAAAGGAGTGGAGTAGAACATCCTATGACTTCTGCGACCAGCTTCCATCTCATTGTTATGCTAATGGCCTACGATATATGAATAATAAGCCCGGCCACAGCGCGACTTCTGACCACTTGCACACTCCGTTTGAGGCTCTGATTTCAAGCAGATCCTGTGGGTCCTGGAGCCCTTCCTTTGACGACGACAGTTGTCGCTTCAGTTATGCAAATGCCGTGCAGGAGGAAGTCGTCGGACACAAGGGAAGTGGTCGAATATTTGATATCTTTATATCTGTTTTCGAGAGTTACGCAAATTGTTTTCCTCTGTCTCTTCAAGCCCACATTCAGACGCACTGTTGGCACATATAAATCTGTTTACCCCCCAAAGCCTTGTATGCCTGGTGGGTGCAAAAAACCCAAAGGAAGTTTTAAGTTTAGTTGTCTTTTCGGCATTCCCGGAAGCTCTTAAAGGCAGCAGCAGCAGCCATAACACGTGCATACGTACTCCGACTAAGGGTGGCCAAAGGATGAGTTGCCTGCACCGAGATGAGCAATCGTAAAATGCGAAATTTTATGTCCTTACCAAGCCTAACTGTTGCTCGGCTGCCTTTTCCCGGACAGCTGCCATAAATCCTGACTCTTGCTTTTTAATGCTTACCTTTTGTGTTGTTTTTTTAGCTCATTTGCCATTAATCCGGCGAAACTAAAAGTGAGATAACCAAACTCAGATGGACTAGCTTACGAGTTTTTCATCATTTATAGCCACAACTCGTGGAGTGTTTTCCTCATTATGAACAAATAATTTTTTTAATTTTATATAGACCTCTCCCCTTGACTGAAAAACTTTCAGTAGCTGGAACTATCGTAATAAAATGGTAATATGATAAAAATATGTAAATAAAGATTAGAAAATTTTATTGAATTAAAAATCATAAATAAATATAGACATACATTGATTGATATTTACTTTTAGTATTTAAGTAGGAAATATAAATATTTTTGGGTATTGTATAGAAAAATGTTGATAACTAGTTTCTGACAATGTGAAATGCTATATTGAATTGTCTATTATACAATTGAACAAAACAGGCGAAAAATACCTATCTATCATATATCTAGTATATATGTTATTGGGTTAAATTTCGCGTAGGCTGCTAGTCTATTACGTTATTTTCCATTCCCGTCAACTACCTATGAAACTCATGATCTTCTTTCTGTTCTGGTGAACCCATTTTTATGTGGTCTAGGCACGTTTTATTTGTTTAAAGAACTATTAAAATGGCATAAACAGGAACTCGAATGGCGATGGCAATCGCAGTGGTGTTCTCCGTTGGACTGGCTAACTGGCAGTGCCAAAGTTTTATCTCGTCGGGGAGAGGGGGGTTTGGAGGGGCCAGCTGGTGCTGCCTTTTGAGCGCATTGTTGTTGGTCGTATTTGATTATCGCATTTCATTTTGTGTCGGGTGAATGTAGAAAGCTGAATGCAAATTTGCATGACACCAACAGAAGCGGCCAGTGGGTGGATGACGATGATCATGATTGCGGAGCAAAAGAATACGGCAACAATCACACCAACCATCATAATAATAATAACAAAGCAGCCAGAGCAACACTGGCCCATCCTGGAGTTCTTTTTCTCTCCATTGTGACCGTCCAGCAGAAAGGGAGGATGGGCTGTCAAAGTTTTTAGGTATCATTTCAGTTTATTTGAATTATTCATAATCCGGACGGCAGCGTAAGAAACAAACAGCAACTCAGACAAGCCCGGGCCAGCAGAAAAAGCTGGCCAAAGATAACGGAAGCAGCAAATAAAAATCATTCATTGTAAACATTTTCCCCTCGCTGCAAAGTTTTTTGGCAAACAAAAGGGAAACGAAGCCGCAGCTCAAATTCGATTCAATCAACAAAGAAATATGGAAATCCCATTGGATAACTCAGAAAAAATCTGCACCATATTTCAGTGCATGCTGTGAATTAAGTGAAACATTAAATATTCAACTTTGAAAGAATTAACTTTTCTGTTTTTTCAAATTGTAACCTGTTGGGCACACGAAATTCTATGAATCCTTTGGCTCAAAGCATCCCCTTTGAGTGCGCCCATGCAACACGCAAATGCCCAATAGTCAAAGTTTACTTTGCACGCTCTCTGTTTGTTGTTCTTGCCACAAGAGTTTCGGCTTACTTTCTATAGCTATCGAACTCTTGTTTGACTCATACTTAAATGTGCAATAAATTGAGCACTTCCATGGCACTTACGGGGGAAGGGGGGGACGGACAGGTGAGAGGTGGCCTCCACTCGTCTCACGACAGTTTTACGACAGTCACGCGATTGCCCGCTCGCGATATAAATAGAAAAGCAGCGTGCCCGAAATGTTTGTAAAAATTGAATGTTGGTTAGAAAAGCAACACAGTCAATCACTCAGTCATACTGACAAGATAAACACCATATGCACAGGAAATAACATTTTATAACAATCCCAGCGATTAATGAAAACTACATATTTGGTTTCAAAGATTTAGTAGGATTTTCTTAGGCCTTAGAAAGAAATAAGAATGAAAAACTAGTTTAGTTCAATAAGCAAGGAATTCCATAATCTTAAGCAAATTTCTTAATTGTGTATAAGGAACGCATGTTTTGTTGCTAAACATTTTTTAGAATCCTGATTTTCGGCAAACATAACTAAATAATACTGCAAGAAATGGAAAAAAACACGAAGTCGCCCACTTCTTTAAACTTGTTATAAAATCTGGTCGTAAAATGCTTAACAAAATTTACCTAAGTTCTATTTTGTTATTAGCAGCAATGTGATAAGGATCGATTGACTAGGGCATTATGTGTCCTTAACAGCAATTCAATTTCAATTTTAAGCAATTCAATTTCTAACCAAAAAATGGGCTTTTTTCTTAGAAGTTCGGGTACTTTTGTAACAGTTCACCAAAAAAGCATACCAAAGTTTAAAGAATACTTAAGGGACTTTAATTTATTGTCAAGCTAAGAGGAAACCTAATTTTTTTCTGAGTGACTGGACAGAAAGGCAAAGAGGTGCGGGGGGGGCAGCGAGAAATTAGCACAAACTATGCCGCAAGAAAAGTTAGTTGCGAAGCCTAATAAGCGGCGCCCATGGGCGCCCAACGGAAAACTCTCCGCCCCACAACCATCATCCGCCCTGTTGGCCGACGATTTGCCAACGTTTTCACTTTCACTTTTACATTTGCGTGCTGCTGCCGACGTCGCTGCTCGCTGTCGGCATCGCTGTCGGCGTCGCTGTCGGCGTCGCTGTCGGCGTCGCTGTCGGCGTCGCTGTCGGCGTCGCTGTCGTCGCATTGCGAATTCCTGGCAGCAGCGGGGTAAAGTTTTAGCATACTTTTCGGCGGCGGCGACAGTATTTTTTGTGCACTTGACATGTTTTGACACGCTCCACGCTCGTCGCTCCTTCCAATCCTTGGCTTGGCAAAAAAGGGGGGGAGAGGGCTTCGAGTCCTGGCCGCCTGAATGAGCATGTTCGCCTCGCCGCTGGAGTTTGATGTTGTTTTGCGCGCCAAAAATGCTAACGATAATCTGGTGAGCCACCACACCTGCCTTGGCAACTCACCACGTTGCCCAGGACGACGGTTACCAACTTCCAACCCTTTGCAGGACCTCGCCCGCCACCCTCCCCTTCCCTCTGGTCACCCCCGACACTTGCACTTTCCAGGCGACGCTTTCCGTTTGTTTACCTTTGCTGGTGTTGCTTTAGTTACTGACCAACAGCGGTCCACAAAAGGTTATATTTTTGCTTTTCGACGGCAATCATTTCAGCATGATTAACGCGTGAATATGTTAAATTATTAATTGGCCGGTCGGAGTGTTTTGCATTTTTTTGACGCACTTAATGGGCAGCCCGAGGTGTGATGCGTTTGGAAAAAGTAATTGCTTTCGCCCCGCCAATGAGCCACTCGACACACCTGCACTGAAAAAAGGCCGGCTGACAACCAATCGACCAACCACCAACAGCAACTTGTCCGGTTAAATAAACAGCACTACACACGATATATACACGATATATATTTAACCGAAATATTTGCTGGCAATTAAGCTGGGGACCGTGAAAATTACGCGATCCATCAAACGCAGCCCGGCGGCAGTGGGCGGGTATGTGGCGCAAATTGTTGCAACATGCAATATGCGATATGCAAATGGCGTTTTAATTAGTTTATTAATCGGCTGCGGCCTCATCTCAGCAGGTGCAAACGCCATTGCCAGCCCTTAATTTTCCGGCGGGCGAAGTAATTAATTTCCTGACCCCACCACAACCAACCAGATACTTTATTATTATTTCATATTTTGGTTTTGTTTTCCAGCCCCAATTGCTGCGGCAGCGGGACCGAAGCCATCGCAACGCGCTGCACTACTGTGCCGCGCAGGACGTGGAGCAGAGCAAGGACCTCGTGGCGGCCGCCAGCATCGCGATCGCAGCCCCCGAGCTGCTGGAGTCGGCGGACGAGGATGGCTTCACCCCGCTCCACCTGGCCGTCATCCAGGGCAACCTGGCCATGGTCAACCTGCTGCTGGCGAACAAGGCCGACGTGAATGCGGTGGACAACGAGGGCCACTCGGTGGTGCACTGGGCCACCGGTGAGTGCAATCCTGTTTATACCCGTTACTCGTAGAGTAAAAGGGTATATTGTATTCGTGCAAAAGTATGTAACAGGTAGAAGGAAGCGTGTCCGACCCTATAAAGTAAATATATTCTTGTTCAGGATCACTAGCCGAGTCGATCTAGCCATGTCCGTCTGTCCGTCTGTCCGTCTGTCTGTCCGTCTGTCCGTCTGTCCGTATGAACGCTGAGATCTCGGAAACTATAAAAGCTAGAAGATTGGCATTTTGCATGTAGATTTTAGGAGTTCCTACGCAGTTTGTTTCAAAATGGTGCCACGCCCCCTCTAACGCCCACAAGCCACAAGCTGTGGCCACAGTTTTGATGCTATTATGAAAATACAATAGCGCCATCTAACGGATGACGTTTAATTCTCGATAAGGATTTCTATTAAAGGAAATTGCGATGGTTTTCATTTGTCAATACCGAACTATAGCCCAAGAACTATGCAAATCAAATCAAGTTAGGCAAATTGGAGGTCTGAGTCAAACAATGGCGTATGTGTGTATGCTGGTGCAGGACAAAAGCTGCCTGCGCTAAAGCAGCGCTGGTGCTGATGCTCGTGCTGTAAAGCTGCCAGCTCTAAGAGATCGCCGAATTCAAATTGATAATTTTAACTTTTTGTCCTTTTTTCCTGTGGTCACCCTAGTTCACATTATGTTAATGCAAAATCTAAAGTTGTTTAACTGAGTAACGGGTATCTAATAGTCGAGGCACTCGACTATAGCGTTCTCTCTTGTTTTTTCTAAAAATGAATCGGTTAATACCTTTTTTTTGTTGGGTCAATAATTGTGTTTGCCTAACAGAAAGGCACAATTAACTTAGACAATATTTATGTTTGCATTAAACTAAGTGAATATAAAACTGCATTAATTAATTTTACAAATAATAATTCAACTGTTTATTCAAGGCCATAATTATTTTTCAGGCCATTTAAAAGAAATAGCTTGTTTGTGTTTATGCGAAATTTTAATTAATGAAAGTGTTCAACAGTAAACGAATAAAAAGTAACGATATTTAATTTAAACAATAAAGCTTTTGGATAAACAAAGCATTATAAATAAGAACTGCCTAACATTTTCGATTTATGCTTGTCAATTCTTCATTTAATTATTTAACCTTTTATTTTTCAGTATGCGGTGAGGTAGAGTCCTTGCGAGCGGTCCTGGCAGCAGGAGCAAGTGTGGCCAAGCCGGACGCCAATGGAGGCACTCCGCTGCACTATGCCGCCCAAATGTGTGGCGCCAGTCACGACAGCAAGCAGCAGGCCAGTTCCAGCTCCAGTTCGAGGCTCTCCCTGGAGATCCTGGGCATCCTGCTGTCCCATCCCCAGAGCAGTGTCGATGTGCAGGACAAGGATGGACGGCAACCGCTGTTGTGGGCCGCTTCAGCGGGATCGGCCAAGGCAGTGATTGCCCTGGTTAAAGCGGGTGCCAGGGTGGAGTCATCAGATAAGTGGGTTGAATAGCCCATCTCTTTTAACTATGTCCGATCTATATCCTTTACTCCTTTCAGAGATGGCCTCACTGCCTTACACTGTGCTGGTTCTCGTGGTCACACCGAATGCATAGACACCCTGATAGGACTTTGTGGTGCCCCCACGGATCTCATCGACTCCAATGGCTGTACGGCTCTTCACTATGCCGTGACTTTGGGCCATGCCGATGCCACAGCCAGATTGCTAGACTTGGAGGCAGATCCCAATCGCCAGGATCGCAAGGGTCGCACACCAGCCCACTGCGGTTGCTCCAAGGGTCAGTTCGAGACCTTGAAGCTACTGAAGGAGCGGGGAGCAAACCTCTGGTTGCGCAATGCCAAGGGTGATCTGCCGCTCCACGAGGCCGCCGCCTCCGGGAGGAGGGAACTCGTCGAGTGGCTCCTCAATCAAAGGCCCAAGCAGGTGAACACCACCAGCAATGATGGACGCAGTCTGCTGCACATTGCGGCAGCCAATGATTACACGGATATGTGTAAGTTGTTGCTGGACTACGGAGCTGATGTGAATGCCGTGTATCGGAATTCGAGGGGCCTGGTCCTAACCCCATTAGATGGAGCCTTGCAGCGTGGTCATCGTTCCACGGCCAAGTTCCTTCAGGCCAACGGAGGTCAGCCGGCCAACAAAGTGCGATTGTCGAGCAGGCGGGCGGGGAATCCCTTCCACGAGACCAATGCCGCTGATTTAGTGAGGCCTCTAAAATATGTGGAGAAGGAGGAACTGCACGACCTACGCAGCTCCAAGAAGTATGTGGTGTATCTAAAACGATCCGATTCGGATAATGGCAATGGGAACGGCAAGGCCGACGATCCCGTTGCGGACTGCAGCTGCTCGGAGCAAACTTATCGTAAGGAGCAGCGATTGAAGCATGTCTGCCGGCGCCACAAAAGGAGGCAGTTGAGGAGACGCACCAGCAGTTGTGGCGAGTCCAAGCACGAGCGCTGCAGTGAGATTTGCCGCTCCAAGAGCAACATCGAGATCAGAAGGCACAAATCCCGTGAGCGGTACGCCAGTTCCAGCGAGTGGGAGGAGGAGGATGACGAGGACTCGTGCGAGAATTGCTGCTATCACAAGCGGCAGAAGGATCGGGTGGTTTCGCGCAAACGTTCCACTTCCTCCAGGAAGTCAAAAAACCGAGAAGATAGCGACGCGGAGGAGGAGAACTACACGGCCCACTCATCGCCGGATAAGGCTGTGAGGAAACCCCTGACAGTAAATGGGGATGCTAAACCTGGTCATCCCCAGGAGCAAGCCAATGCTAAGGAGCGACCTCCATCCGCCAGTAGGCATCAAACGCCACCCACTAAAGATGGCACCTTCATCAAGTCACCAAACCAAAGCGCCAAGAGCGAGAAGTCCGGCCAAATGGACAGCCTACTGGTGGAGGAGTCTCACGCCGTGGAGTTAACCGATGAAGAACAGGAAGCGGCCAAGTCAGTGGTGACCCAGGTGGATGTCCATCACGATGCGGAGGAACAGCAGACATCGAAATCTTCAGAGGAATTACCGCCTGCAGAAGAGAAGGAAAATAACATGACACCGGAGGAACCGGAAGTCAAACTGCAACTGAGCGAGGAGGAAACTCAATTGGTGTCCAAGGAAGTGGAGCAGGTGATCAAGATAGCAGCCACTGCATTGAGCAGCGAGTCCAAGAGTTCCAGTGAGGAGAGGCCAGTGGAGAAGGAGCTGGCTAAAGATACTGAAGCACCTGTAGAAAAGGCTGAAGACGAGGTTAGGGAATCCCCAAAACCACCCTCTGTGCCTGCCACGCCCCCACCAGCGCCTAAAGAGGAGGCCGCTAAGCCACCGACTGCCGCAGAAAAACCACAGCCAAATGCCAACACGGCCGAAGGGGTTGAATCTGCGGCTTCAGAGTCAGTATCTGCTGGCAAAAAAGCCGAGCAAATGGAGCAGGCTGAAGCCAAGCCGAAACCCGATACCAATCCCACACCCACTCCCCCACCCACCGCCCCGCCCGCCGCAGAGCCGAAAAAACCGACGACCGCAGCACCAAAGCCACGCCCTCCCACTGCCCAAACGCCCACACCCACACCCACGCCCCAGCCGGAGCCACCGCAAAGGGAGCAGGAGACGAGGCGCTCCTTCACACTCCTGCCCTCCGATTCGGCGGACGATGACCCAGTTCCGAGCCCAAATCCAAATGGCCCCGCATCAGCTTCCGATGAGCCAGCCACCGAGCGGAAATCGAGCTTCCAAGTGCTGAAGAGCGACGACTCGCTGGATGAAAACGGAAAAAGACCAGCCCGGAAAGTTGACTATGAGGCCGGTAATCAAGTCTTTCAGGTGGTAAACGAAGGCGGTCCTGCGGTCCAGTTGCCCAGTGCCGCAGAGCTGGAGAAGATGGAGTATGAATACGAGGAGTACGATGACGAGTATGATGATGATGACAGAGATGGCATCGATCCGGAGCATGATAGTGCCCTGCGTCGTTTTCTCACCAGCGGAAATCGACATGGAGTGGGTGGTTCTGGGGCAGGAGCAGGTGGAATGGCAGCTGTCGGAGCAGCAGGCGGATCTATTGCAGACGACACATCCGAGGGCATGGGCAATGGAAGGAAACGACGCCTCAAAAAGCGCGTGCGCAGCGGCAACAAAACGCGCAGTAATTGGAAAAACTCTCAGGACTCACGCGATGGCGGCAACATGGCGGCTTTGGCCACCACCAAGGATCAGGACTCGGGCTTCGAGCCGAGTCCACGGGCGGAGCGCAGCAAGATACCCACTCTGCGGTCCGCCCACACCGCCCACATGCCGCGGCGGCCCATCTACGCCACTTTAGACGGGCGTTCGTGCAGCAGCCGGCTGGAAAACCGCAAGCCCGGCGACAAGGGCGCCTGCGAAATGGGCGCCGTCACACGCTCCATTCAGCGCAACATCAGGAGGTGAGTACACAAAAGGATATTTTGGGAGGACTTAAAAGTATTTGTCTTTATAAAAGCCTTTGGTTGACAGCTAAATGATACAATTTGGTATTTAAATTATTGCCAACAATTCGTACCACTTACAGACAGATTTTTTCTTTTGAATTACTTATAAAAAAACTTGAATTTGAAGAATATTACAACAAGCCTTATTATAATTGAAACTAATAATAATATGAAAATGTACACATTTAAAAAGAGGACACACTTTAAGACAAATATAATTGGTTATCTCTTAAACACCAAATTGGAAAATTTTTTTGTTCATCTTCTGGTTAAAAAGTGTTAAATTTTGTTAATAATATTATTATCAATTATAAAAAGGCTTGGGGTAATATTCTCATATTATAGATTAACAATGACAACGAAATATGCTGTCCATTTGTACTTTTAGTTGGTTTTTGGCCAAGCTGTCTTTTTTTGAAAAGGCCCGTTGGCTGCATTTGAAGTGAACTCGTTATATTAATATCCTTTTTAAAAATGAGGTACATCTTTAGTTTCCTTGAGGCATGTGTCACTTTTGACATTTTAGATATTTTTGGAAGATGTCTTTCCTGAAGATTTATAAAATGGAAACGCAAATTGGCTCCCTTAATAAATATGAACTCCAATTTCGATTTTTCCCCTGTGCACTAGGGAGCGGGACAGATTGTCCGCGATTGCGGGGAGTTCGAGCCCCGGAGAGTTGATGGCGAGATTCATTCATTTAAATTAATCTCCAGGCAGTTAGTGGCGCCGGCGATGCTGCCTTTTCGGCCGTAGATTTATTTACTTGATGCTTGATTTTAATCAACTTGAATGTCCCACTGCCCGGCTCGCATTATATCACGCGCGCACTTCAGCCTCGCAGTTGCGGCCGCGGCGGCCTCTTAATGTAATCAAACAGGACGAGGCAGGACGCTCAGCCTGCCGCCTTAAAGTTAATTTAGCCAGGGATTTAATAGCCTGGTCGGCATTTCTCATTTCTTTTCTTGGCTTTTTTTTTCGGTAGGGCAGCCATTGCTCCATTGTTGCGCTGGTCAGCAAATAAATTGCCCGGCTTCCGTTCGCCATAAAACGAGCGCTTTAAAGTTATTATAATGCGGTTAAAGGCAATAAACGCGGCATTAATGTTCATTTTCCATGTACTTGAGCATGAACTATGAAACGTTAAGCCCAATGGCTTAACTGAGAGCAGAACAGGTGGAAGTGGTGCTAGTGACACATTTATTGGTGACAAGTGCTAAATACAGTTCTTTTTCTACACCTTATTTTTCCTGTTAATTACCCGCAAGTAAATGTGTTTCTGGGCCAGCTAAATCGTAAATCATAATTAGGTCAAGTCCAATTCCTGCCCGTTGGCACTGCCCTAATATCCTGGCTGATTTATTCGAGTGCCCTCGAATGGCCCAAATCTCGTCCGTTGCCAAACCTCGCTTGTCATTAGCCGAAATGCTCATTTCCGGCAAAGAGTTGCGCATTTTAATTAGCTGCACAGAATCGGGCACTGCGGAGAAAGCGGTGGTGAAAGTTGTGAAAGGTGGGGAAAGGATGCCCACCTGCGGTGCGATGTTTTGTTTATGCAGAAACTTGAAACAAAATATGAAAATTAGCCGCAACCCGGCAGTCGCAATGGAAGCAAAGCAAAGTCTTTGGCTCCGTTTACAACTCGCTAATGCTAATTGTAAATGGAATTAGTGCAGATTAGCGAGAGCATTCTTAGAGGTCCTCAAAGGCAAGGACGATTACCATTTGTGTTCGCTCTTCGTTTTGCCGGCTTGTTGCGGAAATCCTTTTGTGCTCGGGGATTTTCCCGGAAATTGGCCTCCAAAAGCTCACACTAGCAATGGAATCTCGTGTGGCCCTAATTTAATTTTGTCATTCTTTGCTGGTGTCGCGGATCGATGCTGAAAGCTGTTGCTTCAAACTTTAGAGTCAATTGTATTTATTTTTGGTATTTGCATAAGCCGGGCCGCAAAACTTAATTAAAAAGCGTAAGCTGACTTTTATTAATTTTGCTAATCTGCCTTGTAGCCCATGAATAAATTTGCAAGCATTCACCGAGAAAGAAAAACAAAACAAAACAATAACGGAACGAAAACAGAAGCGAAATCCGGCCGGCGAGCGCATTTCATAAATAATTCTTTCCACTTGACTAATGAAAATATTTAACTCTGTTGTTTGCATAAGCCGGAGCAGGCCGGGAATTGGAAAAGTAGCGCGAAACCAGAGGCAAGTCTGCGCCATGTTAAGGTTTCGACAAATACGCGGCGTATACGCAATGTACGCAAAACCGAAAGTCAAACAAGTGTCTTGCTCAGCAACTTTCCGAACAAGTTCCTCAACAAGTCGGCAGGGTGAGAGTCAATTAATTCCCGAAGAATATACGTTGGGCATCGGTGGGGGCGAAAATCCAAATAGAATATACTACGGGCTCGGTGGCGAAGTAAAGAAAAAAGTAAAAAGTAAAAAGTGAATCCATAGCTCCCAGTCGAATACGCTGAGAAGTGGTGGGAGTTCGACCAGGAAAATACCATGAAAAGTGTGTAAATAGAGACTTTATTTTATTTCGTATTTTTCATTTTATTTTTGCATTCGCATACTCTCACACGGACCCGGGCGGCAACTTTATTTTGTTTCCTCGTTTTGGCTCCGAAGAGATTAAAATTTTATCTGACGCATAAATTAAACAAATAACTTACCGGCGTTGTGTGCGAGTTTGTGTGTCCCAGCAGCACAGGTGAGATTTGGGATTTATAATGTGCGCTCACGTAATTGACGTTGTTAAATATTTGGATTTCGTTTTTCGGCCCCAGCCCGACCCGAAATTTATCTGTTGTCCTTGGGCCTGATTTTTGTGGAGGGCGTGACGGAATTAGGCATATTTGTTGACCGACTTTAAAATCCTGATACTGATGGCCCCGTAGTAGTTCTATCAGAAAATTCATTAAACTTGTAGCAACTGGCTTAATCCTTGGCCAACCACTTTCTTCCATTTTGCTTCTCTCGGATTTACCAGCCAGTCAGCCAGCCAGCCAACCACTTGGCCAACTTTGAAGCATGGGCTCAGAAATATAGCCGTAATGAAAAATGAAGCGGAAAAGTTTTCTGGGATCCGCAGACTTTTCGGGAATTCCGGTGGTGCGACTTTGTCAACACTTTTGGCGGCCATCGATTTGCGCATTGTGAAACAGTTGGTACATATACCATATATATTTTCAGGTATGCAGGCCACGTCTTTCAGGACTCCATTCTACGGTTGTTTCTGGCCCAACCATTAACACTTGGCAAAAGGTTCTGGCAGCGCTTTTGTGGCACAAATTGCCGGCGGGCGGGACTAGTCGTTGTTGCAACTTGTGCAGCGCTTAATTTCTTTGCATTTTGTTGTCGCGTTGTCAGCGCCTGGGAAAAGTGAGAGCTGCGCCTACGCTGGTGCTGACTTTGCCGCCGGCGGGTTTTCCACTTCATCCACTTTGCCGCTGCGTGCACTTTTTGCCTGTCACATTTGTGTCGCAAACAGGAAGAGATGGGTGGTGCTGGGTGGCTGTCAGTCAGTGGGTCGTTCGGTCGGTGGGACAGTTGCTGCAAGCGGTGGCAGTGGAAAAATGTGCCACACAAAATCAACGCGCACAAGAAAATGAAATGAAAGTTGTACTAGGCGGAAACGGAAATCAGTAGCAGCGGCAGTAGCACAAAACTGGGTGGGTGGCTGGCAAAAAAATATGCCAAGGACAGTATTGCAAAAAGTATTTGCACAAAGCGAAAGACTTGCAAAGAACTCAGGCGCAACCGAACGGAGCCAAAAGCGAGGCGTAAAATTGAAAAGCGCTTCGGCAAACAAGTGATGACGATGGCGATGACGATGACGATGGTGGGATGATGGTGGGATGATGGTGGCACCATGATGGCCACGATAAGGAGGACCATGATGATAAAGGACGACGGTGAAGATGACCACTGGCGGGGCGGCGACTGTGGTAGCAAAATAAGCGGAAGAACGACGGACGACCGCTTTGAAGTCGCGCTGCGGGATTCCTTGGCGGCCCTTGGCCAATTTATTACGCAGCTTTTGGCTCACAAGCATTCTTACCTATTTATTACCTGCCTCTCTAGCTGGTCACCCAGTCCGCCAGCCAGCCATCCATCCCTCAATCCATCCATCCCACGAGCAATGAACTTTTGTTTCAAAGTCAAATTGTTTTGCATAATTTCGCGCTGCGCAGCCAAGTGGCGAGCTGTGTCAAGCGGTCTCCTTTCCTCAATGCTGGCTTTGGGTAAACAATTTTCGAAAACGCCGCTCAGCAGCCAGCTTTTTGCGCACCAAGTGCCCTCGACAAATTTGCTTAGTTTTTTTTCGGTGAATGCGCTTCTCCGGCGGAAAGCAAAAAGGCTTGGACGTCAGTTGATTTAGAAGAGTCGCTGGCCCGCAGCCGAGTTAAGGGAAGCAACTTTCGAGGGGACCCCAAAAGGTCGTACATACATATATCCCCTTAAAGCGCTGTTTGCCTAATTTTTAATAAAATTTCTAATAACATTTTATGGCGCCGTTGGCGGCTTTAATTTGACTCGCTTCGGTTATGCTCACTCCTCCGCCCTGTTCTCAATTATTAATAGAATTTTTTCCGCGTACGCACTTTAGTATTTTTGAAATTTTAATAATACGATGCCTTTTATTGCGCTCGAGCTGAAAATCTGGAGAGCTGGTAAGCAGAAGAGGGTCCTTTGTCAGCAGCCCAGCAGGCGGCACTGCCTTTGTTTGACTCGCGAAATATCAAAATGACAATTTACGTACATTTGCTAACATTTATTTTGCAAGGCCCTGGCAAACTGAATCTGATTCTGATTCTTATTCTGGAGCTGATGGGGACAATGGGGAGTGGGCACAAAGAGCTCAGACTGCGCTTTTCTCTGGCCTTTGTTTATGGCTTCCAATTTTCTCCGTTCGCAGATATTACATGGAGCGCAAGATCTTCCAGCATCTACTGGAGCTCAAGTCACTGCAGATTCGCTCCAGTAAGTTGAACGAGGCGGTGCTGGTTAAACGGGCCGTGGACGACTACCACAAGTCCTGTGTCCTTTTGGGCGGCGAAACGGGAACGCGGCTGAGGCGCTACAACTTCAGCGAGTTCACGTTCAAGAACTTCGAGCTCTTCCTCTACGAAACGCTGAAGGGACTCCAGCGTCCGGGCACCAATAACTTCCAGAACATCAACGAGGTGTACGAGGAGGTGGGTGAAGATTAAGTGCCGCCGCATCCGGCAGGCTCATCCAATCATTTCACTTCTTTCAGGCGGAGCGGCGACTCAGCCCGGATTACAATGCCTACGAGAAGGCGCTGCAGTGCACCACCAAGACGCACCGCTGCCTTCATGCTGCCCATGCCTACACGGGGATCCCCTGCGCCGCTTACAGTAAGTAATCCATTTAACAAGTACACGGAAAACAATTGTTTTCTGGAGGAGTCCCACAGAAGTATCTTAGAAACAAATGTTTAAAAACAAGTTAAAATACTATATGTAGGCACTCTCGGATAAGGATTACATTTTTTTTTAATTAGAATATGAGTGTTCGTTTTTTTAATATTTTTTTGTAAGATTTATCTATAATCTTTAATTCAACAAACAAAAAAATGGTAAAGCACCAAAATTTTTATATGAAGGCTATTCCTTTCAGAGAATATCTATTTATGGACTGAAATTAGGAATTATCTTCTTATTTGGCCAAAAATTAAAAGGGGAATTAAATATTTTGACATACAAATTTTATTCAAATTTAAAAAAGGTTTAGATTGCGTTAAAAAACAGCTTATTTTTCTTTTAATTACCAATTTTTAAAAAAAAAAACCAAAATTTCACATAAAAGATTGAGGATTAGTTATCAATGCGGGCTAAACAAAAACTGGTTTGAGTTGTAACCTAGATTTTACGAATATATAAAGGAAGTCATCAATGATTTGTATCATAAATTGGTTCCATATAATCGGCTTATTTTCAAACTTGCCAAAAAAGGATAGAATTAACAGATTGTAAAAATAAGAAAGTTTTATATTTTTTAAAACATTTTTTCTGTGTACAGAGCCTTGCTGCTCTGATTGCTAGAGGGCTTTAAGCGGCTCCGTGCAAGCGTGAAAAATGGCACCAGACAGGATTCGGCCTGGCCAAAGGATCAAATGGGTTGGCCACGGGTTGGCAACACTTTCGCCGGCAGTGGGTCAAGCGTGGGACGGAGCGGACAAGGCGGACTCGGCGGACATTCGAATTCAAAGCATCTGCTCGGCAGCTGGAGGGCATAAAAATATAAATCCTAATTACGAGCAGTTTATTCAGCGCGGGGCAAATTAAAAATGTTCTCGACCCGGCTTTCTGGCTTTCCACTTTTATTACATCTTCACTCGGCTATTTCTCTGCTGGCAATGTGGATGGTGCTGGCGCCTCAAAAGGATGCGTCCGGCTTATGCCAAATTAAAAACGCATTCATTTGTGCGCTCCCATCCACTTGCCCTTGTTTATTCACAGTTATTTTGCTGAAAGTAGCAAGTAATCCCAGTCGAAATGGCTCTTAATCCGGCAGCCAAAAACGACTCCCCCATTTCCTTATTAGTTGTTCCCCACCGCAGTTTTTACCCATGCATTTTAGCTGAGTGTCCCTTCTGCAGGACACCTGTCAGGTCGTTGGAAATTCGTTGGAGAGCGCTGCGATCATCTGGCCAATCATTAATCTAATGTGTGTCAACCGTTCTTTGCATTGCAGTTCCCATGATAAATCACCATACGATGCCAAAGTTCGGCTTTGGACCGTACAAGAAGACCGGCAGTGTCAGCAGCTTTTTCCTACCCAAAATCCTGACCAGCGGTCGCGCCTCCAGCGGACGGACGGGCGGTATGGGCGGTACGGGCGGAAGTGCGAGCGGCAGCCGCTGCAACCATAAGGTGGCGCTGGAATTGTCGCACGGCAAGAACAAACAGCTAATTTCACTGCCCGCGGAAAAGTTGGACAGCAATAAACGATATTACGTGACGTTCACAGTAAAGGACTCCTCGGGGTCATCAGCGTACCAGCAGAAGTGCGGCAATGCCGCTGGCGATCCGGGTTGCAAGTAGTGCGCGGCGTATACGTAATGTGGCATACAGTGCGTATACGCCATGGCCATTGCCATCAGGCCATCGTCGCGGGATCCGGACAGAGCCGCCGACCTGCGCCCGCATCCCCAGGCTCCTTTTTGCTGTTTCTGCTGCTGCTGTTGCTCCAAATGCATTAAAACAATGTCGCTGCTGCTGGTTCTGCTGCTGCTTTTGCTTCTGCTGCTGTTGTTGCAATTGTTGTGGCCACCCGTTGTCCGCGCTGCCTTTTTTCCATTCGCTTCCTATCGTGATGCTGAAGCAAAATGGTGGTTTTTGTAGGGTATATGGCGGACGTATGCACTTAACCTACACGGTTGGCTAAATTTAATTTAATACTAACATCAACATTTAAAGAGTTTCGGCTTGATTTAATTTAATTAATTAACTGATAATGAAAAGCAAACACATGCTTGTTATTTTTTATCATTTTATTAATGTTTAATTAAAGTTTAACATCGGATTTTCCTCTGCTTTTTTAAACCAAGTTCAGGAAACTTTGATCATTTTACTGATTTTTGGCTCAAAAGATAAAAAGTGTGTCAAGATATTTAACATTTTCCTTTAATAAGCAAACATTATTTTATTCAACTGCAAGATTTTCAAGAATTTTAAGTCAAACAATCATTTTAAATTATTCCATTTTTTTACATTTGTATTTAATATTTTAATTTTCTTTATTTATTCAAGACTTAGATTAAGCACTTCCTTGTTGCAATGGCTTGCCTCGAAATGATTTTGGTGGCCCAGAAACAGGGTATAAGCCAGTGTAATCGGTACCTTTTGGCACTGCTGTTGTTTCTGCTGCACTTTAAGATGGCCAACTGCTGATAATGGATGATGGCTCTGCTCTGCGGCTGTCAGTTGAAGTTGTCACGCCGGCAGCGATGCAGGCAGCAACAGCAATTGCTAAGGCAACGGCAGCTTAAATTATGTGTTCCTCCAACCCCGGGCAGTTGTTCAGTGCCCAGTGCTCACTGTTCACTTTTCAGTTGTTCAGTTGTTCAGCTCCGCGCTGTGCTGTTTGCCTGTTTCGTATTCTTTTTTTTTGCCGTCTGTTTGTTTGTTTGTTTGTCCGTTGGCGCTGCCGCTGCCACTGCGCTTTTATTTCAGTTTTTCATTATCATTTTTTGTCGCAGTCGCTGGGTTTGGCTGGGTTCTGGTGTGGGGCTGCTGCTTGGCATGCTCCTAATGCCGCAGATAAGCGTTGTTATTAACGCTCGGCTTACCAGGACTAGGGGACAGGCGTGAGGACATGCCGCCCATCGTCGCTTTTGTCCAAGGAGGCGGGGGGATTGGGAGAGGAGGAGCAACAGCAGGAGCAGGAGCAGCAGGAGCAGCAGGAGCAAAAGCAACAGCAGGGGAGCCACAGCACAAGCTAAAGCAGATTCAGAATCAGCGGATGAATAAATGTAAAATATGTACCGTGCATTTCTTTGGCATTTCAACATTTTTACTTTATTTGCAATTTTATTTACTTGTCTGCTTGTGCGCCCTTCCCCTGCCCTTTTCTCACCCTACCCCATCCCATCCCATCCCTTCCCATCCAAGCCATTCAAGCCGTTGTTTGTTTGTTTGCTTACTTCGCACTGAGTGCATTGTAAATGGAGAATAATTGCATTGCATACAAAAAGCGTCGCGATTTTTAAATTGTATAAGCGAGCAGGAGCAGCAGTACTGCAACAGCAATAGCAGCAGCAGGAGACACAGCATCCGCCGTAAAATGATTTCTTTAAATATCAAATTATAAGAGCCGGAGTGCATAATAAATTCAGCATTTTAAGAGTTCTCGTTCCGCGTAGACCTAAGGCAGCTGTTGCAAAATAAACGTTGAAAATGTCTAAATTGAAGCGCCAGTTTCATGCATTTCGCACACACGAAAAAAGGGAAGCACCACACACACAAACCGTAGTCAAAACAATGGTGCCACACCCACACGCACGCCCACATCCATCCATCCGCCCACATGTCCTTGGCATAGATGCGAAAAGAGGGCTGATTGCTCGCTTCGTAGGCGCCGGTATCATTATTTCAGCATCTGCTGAAACGACGACTGCTGACAAAAGGAACAGGCTGGCAAAAAGGAAAACATTTTTACGGCATTCTCGGCATTTTGGCAGCCACCTCACATCCTCATCCCCATCCTCTTTCCTATCCTCCTCCACATCGTTTTTGGCTTGTAAAAGTGGAGCTGTGCCACGACGATGGCATTCTTATGTCTGCCATGAATGTCAGCCGGAGAAGTGCTTCTTTCAACTGCAGCTGTCAGCCAACCAACGATCGCAATAATCAGCGGGCTTAATCGAAGCCTTTATGAGTTTCACCACGGCAACCACTTGGCCATCTGACTGCTAATTGAATTCCAAACTGGCTTTTACAGTGGCCAGGAGAAGTCCATTTTTTTGTTTCTTGTGGTGACAACTGTGACGATTAGCTAGCCGAAATGTAGCCAGATCCATTAAAATGTGGAAAAATGTAAGATTTATTTAACTACATTTAACTTATAAGATGTATTTGGAAATAAAAATAACACTCAAAGAACAATAAAAGGAGCCTTAATACTAAAATGGTTTTCAATTCTCATAATATATTAATTTTAATTTATGATTTGTTTAAGGTTACACAATAAATAAACAATGCTACGATTAGCTAATGATTTACGACGATTTACTATCGGGTAATAAGGTATTCCTTTAAAATAGTATGAAATTAGACTGTATCTTTTTAATTTATGGTGTCACGTAGTAAAAAGTAAGTTAGATCTGCAAGTAAGGATGATAAAACAATCCATGATTTAGGGGGCCTTAGATTTATAATCTAAACATATTGATAATATCTAGAATGGCAGTCACAGATGCCAGATTTGGACTCTTGCTAAGATGGCCAATTCAGCCGAATTATGGCTAAAGGAGGAACACTGTTTGGGGGCATTAATATTTCAAGAGTCCTGTCCGTACTAAGCATGCCTTTGTGAGCGGTGACAGGGTATTTTGAATGGCCAAGCACTCGGACGTCCAGGGGCGCCGTTTAATTTATTTAAGCTCGCTGCGGCCAAGGAGTCACTCTCTGTCGGAGGAGGAGCGACAGGCACTCCAGCAGAATCACCAGAAGTGGGGCGACTGACCCTGGATTCCATTTCGATTTGCGCACTTGGCAGGAAATCTTCGGATTTATGTGGCTTTATTTTCAGTCCGAGTGCTGCAAAGTGCGTTTGGGCCGGATGGAGGTGGAGGACGAGGTTGGAACTTAAAATTCCTGGCAATTGCCCGGGAAGCTGCAACGAAAGCGTTTGCCGGCAAATGAAAACGCCATAAAATTGACAACAAAAGCAATGGCGAAGGTAAGTTGGAAAGTAGAGTGAAAAGTAAATCCGCACGTGCCAACCCAAATTACAGGGGATACTTCAGCAGGGGATTGGCAATGCGAGACCACAATGCAGATTCCGAGCAGCATTTTTAAATTAAGCTCCTCTTGGCATTTATAGGGTAAATTCGGACGGGTGTTCTTCCAGTACCAATCGATTTTTCTAATTCGGTTAGAGTGGTCTGAAATTAATGTTGGAGCTCTAAAATCATTGCAACCAATTACAAAATACCGACCAACGTTGCCAAATTTGTTCGGTAACCTATTTATTTCACTAATGTAAAATCATTTTAAAAACATACTTACTTAATTCTAGCTGAAAGTTAATGGATATTTATATCATTTGAGGTTGGTGTTATATTACCAATGTATTTCTCCATCTCAGTTTGAATGGCCCAGAATCCAAGTTAGTGCTCTAAAAAGTGGGCAACAAATTACGACAAACAGACTTGCATTCGCAGAAAGTTGCCTTGCAAACTTTACCTTCTTGGAAGTTGGCGTTGGCCCACGCGCTGCAAATTTCGCAAGAAATGTTTTAATCTCCTGTGCATGCCAAGGCCAACCCAATCCTGCAATCCTCCGCCCCCTTAAGCTTTACAGCCTTAATTCGAATCCACGGCTGTTGGGCGGGGAGCTTGTGTTTGGCTTTGGGGCAAAGGCAAAGGCATCAGCAGTGGCAATAGCAAAGAGAAAAGGAGGCGGAGACGATGGAGGCTGCTTGTGTAAAGTAATGAAGGCGGTCTCCATTGACCGACCGCCTTGCCGATGTTTCGATTACGCGCCTCAAGTGGCAATCAGGCTGCAGACGGGGATGCAGTGCCGCAGGATTTGCTCCGCATTAATAACACTTAACCCCTGGCCAAAGTTGGGCAAACAGGATTCGAGCGGATCAGGAAGCGGCATTAATCCTCACTTTGAAGTCCGAATCGGCGGCTTAATTGGAATTGATTTGAACAGAGGTTGGGCAATGGTTGGTTGGTTTGGTTTGAATCTTGTTTATTTATTCAGTATTCGGTATTATTATTAACACACTCAGTAGTTTCGACTTAGTTTTTAATGTATTCCACTTTAAAGTTTGCTTTTTTCTCATTCGTTTTTAAATTTAATTTATTTATAAATCTAACTTTGCTTAAAAACAATCAGTTTGGTTTTGTCCAGAGTGACAGAGACAGAGAACGACAGACGGGGACAGATGGATGTTTTGCCCCCGGTGTTGTCATGTATATGTATCTATATATATATATATATATATAATTTCAATTTATTTTATTACGCATACGCACAGTATATTTTGCTAGTCTGCCATTTCACTTTATGTTTGTATATTTGAAATTAGAATTCGAATTACATTGGAGTATTGTGTAAACTGTATTATTATTATTATTACTTTTATGTCGTACTTTTGCTCGGTTACTTTAGTTATTTATAACATTTACACTGAATTCGCTTTTATTGTTTTTGTTGTAGCTGAGTTTGGGTCTGATGCTCTTGTGTCAGTGTGGAACTTTCGAGGACTCTGGGAATTGCCTGTTCACTTGACATTTATTCATTATGCACTCGAACATCGCCCACTTGGCTGTTGTTTGTTTTTGGTTGTTTTTCATCATCGCCTTCAGTTCGGCTTATTGTGGTAATAGAATATTCATGGAATTGCCATAAACAGCGACTAAATATGCCAGATCAGATTGGAAGAGAGTGGGCCGGGGCCCGAAAAATCGAGCAGAAATTGTGGGAGCTGCTCCCAAGATTTTCATTTACCAAACAGCAACAGGATACGGCTTTAACTGCTTAAGAATCCAATATCGCTATGCAGACACAAATGGATGTATGACTTTTCTATTGGCGCAATGCCTGGATACTTGCACATATTTGAGGCAGATACCTAGTGCAAAGTCTGATGCCCAATAACTCTTAGTGGGCTCTATGAGTCTAATTACACTTTCAATACACACGGCTTACTTGGCTACTGGCTTATTAGCTAGTTGTTCATTAATTACAATTAATATTTAACATTTAAATGCAGTTTGATTAATGTTTGCCCGTTCTCTATGTACAGTCGATGGTGCAACAGCAAAATGAGTGTCTGGTGTGTGTGTGGTGTTTGTGTGATATTTACAAGTTTTATATTTTGATTTCAGTTACAAGTTTGTAGCGTATTTATAGCGCAGCTTCTGGGATTCTATGTATCTTTTTGATTTTGCCTCCGCAATTCGCAGTTTGCATGACACTTAATGGCTGACAATTACAAAATGGCTTATCCTTATCTGTTTGCCTGTCCTCTTAAACGTACGCAATACGATTTACCTTTTACGCTAATGCATTTAAATTTATGCTAAAAATTTACAGCTATGTTAAATGAAATGCCCGTGAATTATGAGGCCTCACCGCGCGTGAATGTGTGTGTGTGTATGCCTTTCTCACTATGGTAGATATTTATTATAACTTTTTACAATTACTTCAGCGTTGGATCCAGGGTCGTAAATTCCAATTCGCCGCGCGGCAATATCAGATCCGGGTCTGCAATATACACTTTGGTTGGTTGGTATAAAACAAAATCAACAACAATGGCATATGTGGATATGTGTTTGGGTGAATGTGAATGTGAGTGTGTTTGGGTGAGACATAAATTCATGTGAGAGTGAGTAATGGGCGTGTGTGTTTGGTGTGTGTTTAGTGTGGGTGTTGAGGAATAGAGAAACAAAGGCAAAATGTTTATACCGATTAGTTTGGCTTGTTTGGTTTGTTGCTATTGCTTTTCAGATTCACAACACTTGCAAAATGACATCATAACACAGAGTTGCAAATTATTTTTTGAGCGGCGAAAAGAAAAGAGAACCATTAGCAAAATACGTATCGAAAGCGTAACCAATTGTGCGCTGATAACAAAGCAAATAGCATCTAATAAAACAGCAATATGAACAGCACAAAAACGAACTGAAACTAAAACAGGAACAGAAACGGAAACAGCAACAGAAACATCAAAATCAACAACAGAGACATCAACAACATTTAACGGAGGAGCATTTCAATATTAATATTCACTTTACTGGGCCACGCTCCCCATTCGCCCTTCCGCTCGTAAACGTAAAATAATTCAACAATTTCTTAATTTTTATAGCACATTTCGCTGGAATTTATGTGCGAGCCGGTCGGTTTTATTGTGGTCCGACTTATTGTGTCGCCTGGGTAGAAGTGAATCTTGAGCGTCATCTAGCGCTTGTTGTTTACGATTTTGCAGTTTGTTATTTGACGTGGCTCGGCCCGAGCACCCTGTGATATTTTATTATTATCGTCTTTTATGTCACATTTGTGTGGCGTCTTTGAGCCATAAAGACGCACAAACTAAGGCAACTCTCTAGTGCGTCTATGTCTGTGTGTTCGGTTGGTTGTGGCCCTTCACGTTTACTTTCACGCCATGCCTGACAGCATTAAAAAATGTCAAAAGTCGCAAAAATGTTGCCAGCCTGGATGGCCCAACAAAGAGCGGAAAATCCCCTAAAGGGAATGGTGCCAAAGAGGGTTGTGCGGGGCGGGCGGAAACGGAAGTGCGGCGACAAATGAATGAACAGCGTTGACATTGAGCCTTCAGGAAAACGTGTGCGTGTGTGCACATAGAAAAATGTATGTTTACATTATAATCCTCGAGTCTATTTTTTGAATATACTTTCCAACAAATTATTTTCTGAACTTAAGAAATGATTTAAATAGTTTTTATCTTTTGCAGATGATCTTGTTGTATTTTTTTTATAAAAAATGTATCAAACCCAAAGTTTTTTTCTAGGCTTTAGTTTAAGCAAGCTCCAGAAAAGTTCAATATTTTGAGTTTTAAAAATATTTTAAGAAATATTCCAAGAAATTTCTTAAAATAGATAAATCTTGAGATTCGCATAACTTCCTGGAGATACTGGTTTGGAATACCAATGATTTAAAAGAATTTTGACGTTTCGACAGAATAAAGAAATGCTGATACCCATTTTCTAGACAATTTTTTACCTCATGTTGTTTTAGTGTGTACCTTAAAGGTCGGTCTAAAATCTTCTAAGAGATATATAACCTTTGTATTTCAAATCTGAAATTCGTTTGCCATTTGGTTGAAAGAAATTCTTGCCGGTGTAAGTCCTCTGCTGTCGCATAAACAATGTTGCCCAAGCAAATTTTGCGGCATTTTTTGCGGCATGACAGAGACATCAAAGTTAGAGCTTGGAGCAGATATACACACGTGCTTTAAGGAGTCTTTAAGATAATGCCACCATGCCATATAGCCGCAGCAAATGGCGCCGTGTGCTCATTTCGAGTGGCTGCTGTGTGGCTCGGTCTCAACTTTGTCTAATTAGACGAGTGCCACTGGAGTGCACATGGAACCTACAACGTACCACCTACAACCTACAACCTACAAACCACTCGCATTACTTACAATCCAAATACTCACACAAAAAGCACGGCCAGGACGAAGGACGAAGGCCACACAAACGTGGCTCAGACATTCGCGACTCTTGACTCGCGCACACATACCATAAACATGCACAGACACACACACACACAACAAACAGCAAGACAAACAGCAACAATGAGACAAAAAGAGATGCTGGGCAAAATGAATGGAGCAGCATGAAATGAAACAAATGTGCACAAAAAAGCATTTCCTCCCCATCCCTCCATAGCCACCACTACTATATACGCAGATGACTGTGGGCTACAAAAAAGTCAAACGAATTTGACTGCTCAAGGGGATTCTCCCTTTGGGTCCCTCGGTTCCTCGGTTCCTCGGTCCCAGTGCCACCTGTACGGTGGAGCACGCGAGACTGGCATATGCAATTAAAAATGCTGGCTAATGACAGCAACTGCCGAGATGTAAAGATGCGAATGGGTGTCTTTTCCTGGCCGTGAGTGTGTACATATACAGTGGCTCACTTGTGTGCCTTGAGTTACGGCGCTGGAAGCGTTTTGCTCTTTCCAGGACCTTTTTATTTCAATTTGACATCGCTGGGTAAATGTGGGGACTATGAATTCCAAGGCAGCAGCCAGGGGAAATTTACTACTCTAACTTGACACTGTTTAGTATAGTTGAAAAAGTTCGTAAGTAGCTTCCATTAATAAATATTTATAGAAAAAACCCACAAAATTGACACACACATACGACCATTAGTATTTTAAATTATTGATTTGGTGTGTGGTTTATTTGATGTGAAGTTTTTTCTTGTTTTATTTGATTGATCCTAATGGACTTCCCTAAACCGATAATTGTGGGAAAGTATTAGCCTTGTTATTTGGAAAAAAGTTGGATTCAAAAAGCTTTTTGTTCAAAGAAAAACTTTATATTTCTCCGTGAAAGAACTAATAAATAAATTATACTTTTTGTGACAAGTCTTGGTTTTTAGGGAAATCTCGATAGGGTTTAATAGTTTTCCTACTAAATCAGAGTTCGATTGAATCGCTTAAGCTGCCTTGCAGCTCAGTGTAATCCCAGCCAAGACAGTTCCCAAACTGTCTGTTTTTAGTTGGCGTCTTGCCGCACCAGCTACAACATTTCTGGACCGCTCCTCTGGCGCACTCCAGCCCGACTTTGGCACTTGTTAGTGTCTTGTAAGCCAGTTGACTTGGTTTACGTTCTGCCGGGTGAAAGGGCAGCACTGGGGCGGGAATTACAAATATGCACACCCGAATGTGTTGGAGTGTGTGAGTATGTGTGTGTGTGTGAGTGGTGTGTCGTGTCATGTCAGCCGAACAGCCCCTCAGCGCACATAAATTAAACAGACTGCCGGGGGGTAGTGAAAAAAAAATATTTTAACGAGCGGAAGGACAGGCTGAAAGTAATGAAAATATAAAATTAAATCGCTGACAAAATCAAATTTAGCTAATTTGTGACAGTTGAATTCACGCATCGTGGGCTAAAAGAATCAGATGGAGAGAGGGGGGAGTGAGATCGGGGTCACATGTTGTGTTAGCAATAATATCACGTATACGACACATCTGCCCATTAAATAATATTTGCGTTTACCAGCATGTCGGCACGTCAGGACCAGGCAACAGATCACACTGGTGTTTGTGTGCCTTTGTGCTTATTTTTGTGTTTTAATTTAGTGCTTTCGAAATAATTAAAATTTATGCAATTCAAAGTTAAAACAAAGTCTGCATGAGCTCGCACAGAGCAAACAGAGCGAGTCGTCGTGGGGAATGAGAGGGTTAAAGCAGCAGCAGAATATTTTGCAAATTTGTTGCCGTCTGAGGCATGTTTACGCACATAGTACATATGTTTGTTTGTATGCCAGTGCGTCGACTGTGCTTCGAAATTTATGCGAAACATCCCAAAAAGACTTGGCACTGCACTGAGTGGCACAAAAGCAACTGCTAAGCGGGATGGAGAACCCATAGCTGGATAGAAATAAACAGAAACGTCAACAAAAAACAAAGACTAAGCAAACAGCCTCATCCCTAGACACACCCATTGTCTTGGGTCTGTTCGGCATTTATCCTTTTTAAAAACAATATTTGCCTGCACTCTCCGATGCGCTCGTTTAATGTGTATCTAGCCTTGATTTTGTCAAGCAGATGGCTGGCAGAAAACTCATATACTTCAATTAGCTTTTATTTTATATCTGTATCTGTGATACGTTCGGCAAGCTTTGCTGCATTAAAACCGAGTTAGTAAATTCGTCAGAATGCCGCAAATGAATGGAGATTTTAGGATATTTTTGCGGCATTTGCATGGCAACAAAGACAACCCAAAATAATTACGAATGCACAAAGGGAATAAAGGAAATCAGATGAAAGACATGTGAATGCAGGGATGTGGCAACGTAACAAGCAAAGTAAATTGGGATGCCAAATGGACGACAAATTAAAATGTGAAATGGAGCAAGACTGTAGCCATGTTCTTGGGTTGGGGATATTAAAAATACTTGCGAGTGCAGTCCCCCCATTCCAGCAACATTGTCAAATTCGACAGAGAACTCAGCTTAGACATGACTGCCCATCTGCTGCAGCTGCAACTGCAGTTGTTCCTGTTTCAACAACTTCTGCCCGAGTATCTGTGTCGTTTTCTGTTTCTGTTTTTGGTTCAAGTTCTGTTTCTGGTTCTGGTTCTGTATGCTACTTCGTCGTCGTTCGACCTGCTGCACAGATTTAGTTACATAAAATTTACTTTGCATACATTCGGGCGGCCAGGCAGTGTTTCGGCTCCCAGGAGCAGGACAACAGAGTTTCTCCCGAGGCATGGCCAGGAGCACGCTCGAGACGGTGGAGTTCGTGCTGCAAGGCTGGCTGGACGAGGTTACGAGGAGGGGCAGCAGCACGTCGCCTGGGTGGATGGATACAACGGGAACGGTTAGGAGTGAGGACAACTCGCAAGGACAACTCGCAAGGATGAACTCGTACTCGGTTACGTGTGGGGCACTACATTGCTTTAAATACTGGGCAAGGTATTTACAACTTCAAGTCGAGGATTAAGACAGTTGGAAAGCGAGTGGAGTGGAGTGGAGTGAAGTGGAGTGTTTCGCTACCTACAGAGATAGTCAGAGTATAGAGTCAGAGGCGTAGAGATAGACAGAGAAAGTGGGGGTTGAGAACTATGGCTAGATCAGGCAGGAATTTTGCTGGGTGTTGGGTGTGCCCCGCTCCCAAATACTTCAACTAATCGATTCAATCGCTTCAACTCATTCGAAATGAAATCGATCTAACGCAAATGTAACGAAATTAAATACTTTTTCTCTGCGCTAATTAGAAGAGTGTACTCGTATGTCATAAGCTACTTTTGTGAATGCTAAATGAGGGGCAATTAGTTTTTCATTTACATGTGCTCGTATTCAATTCGGTGTTCAACCGCATCATTAGCGAGAACTCAAGCCAACCTAATTGTTTTACATGTGGGCGTTGATCTCCTCCGCTTCCACCACATAAGCTACTCACATGCCAGTACAAGTACTTAAATAAAAATTAATGTTTGCACAATTGTGATACCATGAAAACAGTGGATACGAAGGACTGACCTACTGGCAGTTGTAAGGTTTTAAATTAAATTCGTGTTTGTGCAATGATAATTTATTCGATTGGCATTGTGTCTAAACAAGATGTTAAACTCTAATCTACATAATAGCTACAAATCAACAGAGTGTGCATGAGGTGTATATTATATACGTATGTACAGGCAAGAGAATACTATTTACATAAGGCTATAAATTCAATTGGGCAAATCAATCAGCTAAAGCTACAAATACAAATACAAATTAATATAGAGAGCGCACTCGAGTCGCAACTCAAAAGTACTTAATCAAGCCAAGTGGGGATGCAATCGCAAGGATACATGGTTATATTTGGTCTGATAAATTGATGACTACTTGACTATGACTACGGATATAACTACGACTACGACTACAGCTTGTTGAGTATAGATTTTGGAATAGTACCGTTTAGGCTGGGCTGCGCGTACTGGATGAAGCTCTCGGAGATGTAGTGATGGGGTCCGGCCACGCCCACAATGGCCCCGCCACTCGACCCGACCCCGGGCATTCCGCCGCCGCCGCACAGGTGGGCGTTGGGCGGGGCACCCCGCGCCCTAATCTCCGCCGCTCGTCCGCCGCCCTCCTCCAGCTCGTTCAGCTCATCCTCCTCGATGTACATGCTCGGCACATCGTTTCTCGCCGGCCTAAAAAGAGGGAAAAACAGAAAAAACACAGACATTGAAAAATAGTCATCGCAATCTATTTAAAGTTCAGGGGCTAATAGTTCCCAAGGTGAGGCATATAAAATAACAGCTTAGCAAACTGGACAAACTAAGCCAGCTGCCGGCTCTCGGGCGACTCAAATTTCAATATAAACAGCAACATTCAAAACCCCGCCATCACCTGGGGAACAACTTTGCCAACAACTTTTCACAAGGAGGAGCGGATGATGGTGGTAAACCATAAAATAAAATAAATTCATTCGGTTGTCGGTGCACACGGCGGATGCGCAATATTCGATTTGTGCGCGCCTTTTCAAAGTGCAAAAATGCGTTTTCGCCAGCAACTCCGCAGCTGTATGATAAATATTGGCAATAATATTACCATTTCTCTCGAGGACCCTCGAATTTAAATCAGCCTGTTCGATGGTCCATTGAAAATTAAATATAAACCGATTGCCGCCGGGAGCGCTAATTACGCTCCATCTGTGTCTCTTATCAGTCAGTCTCGTGCACACGTGCGCATCAAATATTTGCACTAATACTTTGCCGCAAGAGGCAAATCATTAAAATTTATGCATAGACGCACATGCTATCGAACAGGGAGGGATTGGGGGGGTGGAGAACAGGTGCGCCAGATTTTATTTATGCACTGAAACGATGGCACGAAGGCATGGAGCGCGTTTGACAGTTGTGATGACCATTTAATGACCCGCATGCGCTTCGCTTTGATGTGCCCGCGACTATTTTCGGCAACTATAATTAATATTTCGTTGGGTTCAGCTTTAAAGTGGTTGCCCGAATTCATTATTGAGCAATCAACGTGGACAGCCCACGACCGAAATCAAAAGAAGAAGCGACCTGTACCCGAATCCACGTGCAACCACGTCGATACAAAGGATTCGGTGGGCGGGGCTGCACTGTGTGTTTATCTTTAATTAGCCGGCAGGCAGTGGGTACAGTACGGGTACAGCAGCTTAGCAGCTGCTTAATTACCCACCCACGGGTACCCAACCACGGATGCGACCCTTTCGCAGGACACAGCGCTGATTTCCTATCTTAAATGGAAACTCTCACTTGTGCGGCTGCCTCGTTTCCGGACCTCGTTTACGGCCATTCTTTTCCGTTGGACCTTCGACATTGTTAGCCTGCCGGGGTCGTCGTCAGGTGCAGGTTTAATTAATTTAATTACAGACTAAGCATAATTTACTGGGCAGGTGCGTGCTCGGCTCTAATCGATTGGCGGCCTCGAAACTGTTTAGGCGATCGTCTTAATGAGCCCCCTAACTTTGCCCGTTCGACCTTTCGCCGCCGAGGTGAGTTTAAAGCAGGACCCGACCTTCCTGGCCATTGATTGAGCAGGCATTTCTCCGCGGCTATCATTTAATTACTCTCTGCGTAATAAGCATAAGTGAGGAATGCGCAAGAAAGTATGCTACGCCCACGTGGCTTTTCTCCATCATCCTTCCGACTGTCAGTCACGTGCCCCACATAAATAATTTCGTAATTATTTCTGCACACACAAACACACATGCCGGCGGCAGCAAACAATTTCATTATTAGTTTTTCCCAGCATCCGGATGGAAGAACTCAACTCACCGCATGCTCTTGCGCACCTCCTGCGGCTCAGGTGGCCGCGGCCTGTGCCGGCAGACCACGACGATGCCGGCCACGATAATTGACGTCACCACGACGGCGCCTATCACCACGACGGCGGCGAGTATCAGCAGCGTGGACTGCTTCTCCGGTCCGCTGCCCGTGCTGGCGCCGGTGCCCAGGCCGCTGGAGCTGCCACTCCCACCCACGCCGCCGCCCCCATGATGCGTAGTTTCTGCGGGCGTCGGGTCCTCGGATAGAATGGATTCATCTGGAAGAAAAGAAGGGCGGTACTATAAAAACACTGAGGCAAACAATTCCAGGAATTATTAATCACATCGATGTTCATTTTTTTGTAAGCTCCTTACGAAATAAAATCCCATCTTAGACTTTTATAAAATATAAGTTATAAATAGATTTTAATCACAAAGACATTCAACTTGTCATATTGTTAAATTTTATAAAATATATGTCTTAAATAGATCACCCAGGATATAACTGATATGATAATGTTTTACACTTAAAGATTAACCTGATTAACAAGAAATACTAATTGTATATCTTTTAGTAATATTCATCTGTTACAAATATTCTCAAATATTTTGTACGGGATACTTAAAAAGCTCATATAAAGAGACTCAAAAAAATAAATAAAACTGTTCAAACAGTATTAATGGTGAACCTAAAAACGTATTTTATATTTATATTTCTCTCAGTGCATGAGCATGTGTTGTAGGTGGAGCTTCAAATAGTTTCAGGGGTTCTAGGAATGATTTGTTATTTACTCGGAATTAGTTTGATGCTGCTGCTGATTTCTGTTTGCCTCGCCTCGCTGCCGTTTATTTATTTATTTGTTTTGCTGCGCCGTGTTCTTTTGCCTAACTGATTGCTTTTGACTGATTGCTTATTGTGTTTTCCTTGGCCCCTTGGGAACGGATTTTCCGTTGAAAATTGAAATTAGCCAAAACGCAGGGTGCTCAGATCTGCGGGCATGATAAATGGTGCCTAGCTGGAGAGGAGAAATTATGAAAATCAAAGACCACAAACCCTACCTTTGGCAACTTATTACCAGCGATTAGGCCTGATGGTACTTGCCGCAAAGCTGTGGCAATTATGAGCAACATGTGAAGGGCATTGTTTATATTTATTAGATTTCCAGCCAGCGGAAATTGCAACATAATGTGTGAGCCGAGCCCAAGGCCCAGGGCAAACTGATTGTAAGATGATCCCCGGCCAAGATTTATGCCAGACATTCGTTAATGCCAACCCCCTCCGCTTTTTTTGGCAGCCAAGCATTTCCGCTCCATTTGCGGGCCGTCAAAGCAACGGCCTCGGAATTGAAACATTGCCAACACCGGTCCATTCCAGCTGCTTTCCCTGGTCCTGAGTTCTTCGTCCTGTTCTTGAGGTCCTGGTCTGGTCCTGGTCCTGGGCCTTTGCTTTTGAAGTGAGCGTTTGAGTGGAAATTGCCTACACCTGCGGCTCAATTTAATTTTTGTTGCTGCCTCCCATTGCCTTATTGCCCGTTCTTTTGGACTGGATCGGCATCGGCTTCTGATGCCAAGGTTCACGGCATCTCCGTCATCTCGTCTCAGCCTGTTTTTTAATCAGTTTGCCTTTCCCCTTACATTGTTTTCCTTATTTATTCGCCTTTGATGCTTTTTTTCGCAACTCAAGTGGCCACTTTGCCTGATATTTTTCACGTTTTCCTTTCGCTCTCAAAGTGTAATAAATTCTCTTGATGAGTTCTGCATAAACTGATTTAAATCAGCGTCGGCTGATTTGCCTTCATTTTATTTATTTTCTTAAGTCTGGTTAGGTGGCAACGGTTTGGCGACGACCTAAGGGGCTGATTTTATCGGCCCACACATGGCGGCGTAAATAAAAATCTGCGTGGGCTAGGCAGCTGTTAAAATTAGAAGGGTCCCCTGCTCCCAAATGAAAACGGTGGCTCTCCACCGGAGTCCATAGTCTCGACTGCGTAATCACAGAGACCAAATTTACGAGCCCGGCCAAAAAAACGATTCTGCGGCAGCCCATTAACATGCATAAGTAACTGGGGAAAAGCAGAGGTGCAGATTTTCGGGCAGCTGTTGTTTCAAGTAAATAAGTTTGGCCAGCGAATTGACTGCTGCCTAATCGAACATTTGCGTATCAAATGCAATTAGTGCCATTAAATCGGGGGCAATATGAGTGATTTATGGCTAACTGGGCGAACGGAGCACACGAAAAACGAAATGAAAATGGCCAAGGCGGTAAATGGAAGTGGAAATGGTAATGGAAATGCAGATAAAAATAAAAATCAGCATGAAAATAATGACAACATTGTTGTCGTAGTTGTGTGCGAGAGAGCCGAGAATGGCAAAGGAACAATAAAAGAAAAGTGTCTACGGTGGCCGTTAAGCAAAACGAAAATTGAAGCAATTCCGCTTACGCTTGGCTCACACACACTTATACACACACACACACCCACATACATATTCATACTCCTCACATGTACACACGCACACAAAGGCAGGCAGTCGCATTATGTCGTTAGGCAGGAGCAAAATGAAGAGGCTGTTGCGGCACGCCCCTGCGTATACGTAATATGCGTGTGCCCCACTCAAAGAATTGATGGAAAATGCTGAAATGCTTTCCGCTCCACTGCATAACTCAGTCAGTGGATTAGAAAAGGGCGTCTGGTCCTCGGGGTGACTCACTGAAGGCAGTTAGGTTCGCTTTTCCTTTTCCCAGGACTTTTTCCTCTGCAAGAGTGTGTGTGTGTGTGTGTGTGACGCCATGTGCGAACTTTTCGCGGCGGCTGATTGAAGACGATTTCCCCGAACTTGCGTTGATTTGAAAATGCAGTCAAGCGTTGAATTAGACAGTTCCGTCCTCAGCTGTTCGGGTTCCAGTTTCAGACTCTGGGTATTTTATTGGCCCGGGAAAAAAGTGACCCACAAACTAGCAACTCGGGTGGCCATAACTTGCGCACTTTATGTGATTAGCAGGAGAGTCCTGCCCTTTTTTGAGTTTCCCCAGTTGCCTCCCAGTTGGGAAGTAAATAGGTATTTTTTTTTGTTTTTCTTTTTTTTTTTTGGCAGGATCGGGTTGGGCTACTCACCATATGGTCCCAGTTGGGCGGCCACGCGTACATTCTCAATCACCACCGGCGGCTCGCTGCGTCCTTTGGCGTTGACGGCGTAAACTAAAAATTGATATTCACGTCCCGGCTCTAAATTATTCAAACGAAACTGTGGACTGTTCTCCTGCATGCGAAAGATGGGTGCAGATGTCGCCTGGAATTATACACATTTATGTTATGTTATATATTTGCCTGATTTGGGATGCGAGCATGACAACAAGCGCATTTATAATTCACTCGCCATACGCTGCCAAGTGTGCCATGTATTTTTTAACTTTTCAGAGGTTCCGTCGCAGACTCAACGCATAAATAATTATTCATGCTTGAAAAATACGTAGGCACAACTGTACTGCAGGAGAAACAGGATCCGTAGCCGAAACAGAAACAGAAGCAGAAACAGGACAGTGTCTGAAAATTTTAAACTGAATATCCGTTTGCCGTAATGGGACACAATCGAGTGAGCTTCGTTGGTTACGCACAAATTCCCACTCAAGTAAGCGTAAGTAATTTATGTTGTCCTTGCGGCACTTTTCCAAAACCCCACCCCGCCCCACCTCCCCCCTTTCTTTCCGTGCGAATGTGTGTCCTTTATCTAGCATGAAACTTTAAAGCAGCCAGCCAACGGACCAACGCGTGGGTCAGAGTCCGGAGATGATGTCGAGTCGTCCCTGCCATCATCATCATCATCATCACCATCGTCATCATGGTCGTCATCATCGTTTCAATTTCATTTTCATTTTCATGACCATCCTCGTGATGAGCTTTGCGCTTGGCTACTTTGCTAATAAACTCGCCCGGCAAGCGCTTCATCAGGGCTGTTGAAAGCAGCCAAACGAAATGGAATGAAATTTTCATATGATATTCTCATCTAGGAGTGACGGAGATAATTTAATAACTCAGCATGCACTCCCCGAGTGCCGGACAAAGGGTAGCGGACCAAGGGATTCTCCGGTTCCATGTGGGGACTTAGACTTACGGCATTAATTATGTTGTCCCTTTTCCATTTGAGTTGAGCCAAAAAAAAAGGGCCCAACCCCCGCAGCAGAAGCAGCCCCCTAAAATACGATATTTATTAATAATTCAAGCAGAAAAGTCAAAGGACATGCACACTAATTGACCATATGGATTTCAAGTGAATTATTGCCAAGTCTCTCGACTCTAATGTTTCTGTTTCGGTTTCGGCCCCAGCTTCTGTATCCATCCGATTTCTAGCTGCTGGCTGTTTGCCGAGCCGTGAGTAAATTTTAATTTAATTGAGCAATTTGCGTTTTGCCTGCCGGAACTTATCAACTTAGGCTAACTCGATTTAGAGAGCTCCTGTTGCAGCTGCAACTTACTCACCTGATCGTTGAGCGTGGATATTTCGTTGTCGCCCAGGCCAATGGCCTCGCCATACTGCCCGCGGGCCTGTCCCTGTCCCGCAGATCCACCAGGATCATTGGAGTACAGCAGGTCGCCACCCACCGCCTCCAGCAAGAAGTATTGGGAGAGGCCGCCGTCGCTGCCCGCCATGCAAACCACCTCCAGGACGGTGTCGTTGCGCAATTCGCAGGCCTTCGGTGCCTCCGGAGTGTCTGCGAAAAGAGGGTGCCCAGATAGCAGTTAGTCATAGTCATAGTCGTAGACAAGCCATGGCTTAATGGCCGACCCACCGACCCACCGAGCCATCCCAGCCACCCACCACCCCATTCGTAATTGCATTTAAAAGCAGCTCCTGTCGCCTTAAAGCGCCACTTTGCCGCAAATTAAGGCGTTGCCCCGTTAAAACAAAAAATAAAGAGTGTGAATACGCCCTTAAAATTATAAAGTTAGCTTTGATTTTCCGCCAAGGGAGAAGCGCACAAAATGGGGGAAAAATAGCCTGAGAAATATTATATACTTTTCTTTTGTCATTACTGATTTTGTACTACATTTAAGATCAAGGAAAACTATTTATATTTTATATAAAAATAGAGATACGGCAAATTTTAGGTTAATTCATATTACCAAAATATGCACAAAGGAACTAACCTTTACTGAATGTTGTTTAAATGAGAGTTAATTATCTTTACACTGGCATTTACTTTAATTATTGAAAAGCATCTAAAAAAAGTATTTTTTAAATGCGGCTTATTTACTTTTAACATGTTACAAAACACAAAAATTAAATGTAAAATACAAAAAACTAAACGAAGATCTTTCCCTGAGTGCATCAACCACGCCCCTAGTTTGCATTAATAACAAGGGAATTTAGCCAAGTACTGGAGCAACGGCTGGCAGTTCAACCTGAGGATTATTTGGCAACATTTTGGCCAAGTACACCGGCACCGGTTCTGCCACCCCCGTGCTCTCTCCTCCTCCAGCACACACTCGCCAATTATGTAAGTAGATCCTTATGTGTGCATAAGAGATAGACGGGGGCCAACAACACCGGCACCGGTGGCAATACCGACACCAGTCTTGTTTAAATTGCGGCGAAGATGGAGGTAAGTGCCGGCATCTTGTGGCAACAACTTCCTCGACTCGACTGGCTCGACTTCCTCGACTTCCACTTACTTGCCGGCAGGATGTGCACCAGACAGGGCGCCGTTTGGCGACCCACCGCATTGCTGGCCCAGCAGGCCAGAGTTATCAACTCGGAGTCCGTCTGCGGCAGATACGTCACCGTGCTGGCCAGTCCGTTCGATTGTATCCTCGAGTTGAGCACCTGTAATGTAGGGGAGACGGCCAAAGCCGGTGGATTAGAGCGGCTTCATTGTGCGAACGTAGGCAGGATCAAATGCAGGACGAGTCGAAATCAAAGCATACCCAGACAAGCCAACCCACCCGAAACCAAATCGAAAACCAATCCCCAGCCCGACCAAAAGCAAAGCGAATCGGGGCATAAATATTTAAAGGCAAATAAGTTTTTATTGCAAGGCAAACGAATCGGACTGGAGACGACGGGATAAGTCATCCTGTGGCTCTCCGGGTTTTCATACAGATTTTCAAATAACTTTTGCGGTAAATGAATTACTTTATTTATTGTGCCCAGCTGTCCCAGAACCGTCGAGTCACATATGCAAGTCCTTCGGTTCGTTTGGTCAGCCATTCGATTCTGCTCCTGGTATTTTTCCTCTTCCATATATCTCTCACTATTTTTTTTTCCTGCCAGCTCTGCAGTCCTCTGCTTTGCACCTAAACGGTTTGCATTTTAAATTCCCCTTAAAACGTAGATATCCGTTGGGTTGGTCCCCACACCAACCCGAATTTATACATTTTGATTAAATTTTAATTCAGTCACGTACGACGCTCGATTCCCTGCTTGGACCATTGTTCGTCTGCTCCGAATTGTCGAACGAAAATCCCAGACAACCCTCGAGTATTTAGCACAAGTTCTGCTAATAGCACCCGACTTCGAACTTGGCTCCTTCCTGGCATTCCGAGTAATTGCGACAGTCGGGCCAAGCTCCGGGTTGCAGCACGTTTCCCGGCATAATTACAGACACAATAAGTTCGGTTTGGATTGCGGACAACGTACCTTTGCCCTAGTCCTTAGGCACGGAAAAAAAAAATAGTCATGAAGTTTCTTTTAAAATCTTTTAAATTTATGGAGTTTTGAATGCAGCTGTTTAGTATAAATGCATTATTACATTTAAAAATCTTAAACAAATTGTTGGTAATGAAATTAATCGTATTAATAGGCTTTTTGAAAAGTTTTCTTTGTGACTTCCAAATTAAAAAAAAATTGGTCTGAATTCACTTTACTTTTAAAACCATAAGTATGAGAAGTAATAGGAGTCTAAATTTTCTCCTCTTCAAATCTACGAATTTAAGAAACCTCAAATGTTTTTAGATCAACATATGCTTAATAAAAAAAAACCATGCATATTTTATTAAATGTCTGTAATTTTTTCGCGTGAATTGTGGGCAGACTTACCGGCGACACGTTGCGGGTGTTGTTGTAGGTCCAACTGAATCGCACGGAGTCCGGCGGATCGGCATCCACCTCGCATTTGACCAGAATCGACTGCAGACTGACGGCTCCGATGGAGGTTTGCTCGGTGCCCGACTTACAACGCGGGGAGACTGCAAAGAGATGGGTGGGATCGGGAGTTTGTTAGGCAGCAAAAAGTTTCCATTTTAAATTTGTTCAGCCTCCCCCTTGGAGAGCAAACAGACCACCGCCCCCCTTTCCCGGGGGAATGTGCCACCCCCCCAACAAAATATACACAAAAATATGAGGGAAGAATGAGGATGGTAAATCCAAAGGGAAGTCGAGCCAGCTACATAGCCTTGAGCATAGTAATTAACATGTTTCCGTTTCACGAACGAGGGGTTTTTCTTTTATTTTATGTGTAGCTTAGCGGGTAAATCTGTGTGCCAGGTATCGGAAGAAAAGCGAGTCAGTCGTCGTTTACTTTCACTTGGCTGTGAAATGAGAGCAGATATGCGGAAGCACTGCCTTTGGCCCCAGGGAAATTGTGTCTGTCTGTGTGCTGGCAGTAGTATCCCAGATTGTGTGCTGAAAGCCGCCTTTAAAATGTAAGTCACGCCAAGGCAGATAAGCATTTGGAGCTTCATTACTACGTTCTTGGCTTTTATCACAAGTCAGCTGCATTTCAGCGTCAAATACTTAAGCCATCTGTCTGCGTCTGTGAACTTGTTGCTGGAAATCGAGTGTGTGAGTGTGTGTGTGTGTGGGAAAATGCGAAGAAAGTTACCTAAAGCCGAAACTCAATGCAAAGACTCTCGGAAAACTTTCATAATTTCAAATATAAACTACTTAAACTGTCGTACGACTCTAAAGAAGGGGTTGGCAGAAATGCATTTCAGATTGTCAGAGTGGCAGCCAAGGAAACGTGGCAGTTTTCCGGTTGGGCGTTGGTAACAGGAATGGACGCCCTCGGCTTGTAAGCTGACAACACAATAAATGCTGCCAACAATGGGGCTACGCACCATCGCTCCCTTCAATATCACTGCCTCGAGATTGTATGCCATGTGGGTACACGAACCCGGCCAAATAGTGTACTTAAGACCCACTCGTGTGGCTCTCAGTGGTTCCATCGATTGTGCAGCTTCCCCTCTGATTTATGCAACCAAATCGCCTGTGCGAGTAGTATATGAAATCCACATTAATCACAGCACAAAAAATGGCCAAAGGCAGACGGCTTGCCCCGAAGCTGCTGGAAAAAATCGGACCGTGAGGTTTATGAAAAGTTTGTTGGCCGTGGCAAAAATTGCGAGTTCGGCTGGATTTATAGGCAAAAGTTTTGTCTGTGCGTGTGTATAAATCAATGGTGGTTGTTTAGGCCAGCGGCAGCACGAATTTTACAATTGTAAACAAGCGGGCAACAAACGCCGACAGTTACAGATGGAGTTAGCGACGGTCATGCATCATTTCTAAGCAATTTCCCCATCCGCTGCTGCCGCTTTCTGTTGCTGCCCCAAAAAGTTGGCAACTTTTATTCCGGCAGCCATTGCTTGTTGATTTTGATTTTATTCTGCAGCTTCCGCTTCCGGTTTGCCATGTTATTTCATCACGTCGCCGTGGCACCACCCCACCCACCCCCACTCCCCGTGGCATGCAGTTTGTGTATATTTTATTTCGTACTTACACTGCACTTTCAGCGTGAGGCTGGAGCTCCGAGTTTCGCCCTCCGTATTTGTGGCCCCGCAGGCATACGCCCCCGCACTTTCCCTCTCGAGTTGCGTCAAGTGCATTATTTCCGTGCTCTCGCCCGACATTCGCATGCCCTGAAATGTGAAGAAGGGGATATTATTAAGGTTTTGAATTGGTTTCGGGTTGTTTGTAGTGGCTGAGTAGCCGATGAATTAGTAGGCAAACTGTTTAGAACGTTCTAAGCTGTGGTTTAAGATAAGCTTTAGATGAAAAGTAATTCAAAAAACCTTTTGATGCTGACCCCTGAATTAAGGTTTTCCAATCACTACAGGCATTGCAGATTTTCATGGTTTTATTATTTATAATTATCAATGTGAACATAATTAAAATTTATCCCTTTCTGAATTATCTTTGCCTAATTGGATGCAAGGTATACATATCAAAAACATACGTTTTTTGGTTTGTGTGCAATAAATTCAATTTCTAAGTCTGCCTATGTTTGGACGTTTTTATTATTCTTTGGAGTTTAAAATGAAAACCAATTGCAAAAATAAAGTGATTATTTGAAACAAATTTAAAAATGGTAATTAGTTTCTGATTATTTATTATTAAAAGCTGCCACTTATACCCGAATTTCATTGGGAAGCTATAACTATAAATAATAAAATAATAAACAAGGAAAATAAATTAAAAACAGAGATAAGTTGGGAAATTGCTGTCAATACCTTACTATTTGAAATTAATATTCCTATTATTTGATGAATTGTTTTGGTGGCTTTTCGCATTAGCTTTGGAATAGGCATACGGAACACATATGCCCAAAGTATTGTCCCACTGGTCTTAGATGGCACAAATTGCGGTGCTGCCGGCTGCATTGTCCAGTGACCACAGGACCCACAACCACCATCACTAGCAGCACTAAATGGCAACCACAATGGAGCCAATGCTTCCCGCCCGGCTATTTGCCATTTGCCATTGCCGAGCGGCAGTGTGGCAATGCGGTTGCCGCCGCCGAATGCGGTATTTTAGTGTGCCGAATAATAATAAAACGGGTTTTATTAAATCAAATTAATGTATTTTTTGGCATTCGACTGTCGACATTAGACTTTTGGCAGGCGCCACTCGAACTCCTCATTGAATTATCCGACAAGTGACTCCATGCGGATGCGAATGCTCCATTTGCACAGCTTGACTCTTAAATTCGATTATGCATTTAGTAGGAAAATCCCGGCTGATATTTGCACATGCGTTTAATTAATTTATCATAACAATAATGCAATTTAAATAGCTTAAGTTCCGTCCACCAACACCACCACCTATGTATGTGTCATTCACGGCTAATTTGCACCAGTTTCCAGCCCTGTCCCTCTGTGGAAAAACACACGCGCGTTATAGATCCGCCGCAAATTGGCCATGCTGCATCATTTGATTATTTGTAAAATTCATTAAAAGGCATGACTGCGTTGATGGAGAGTGGTAATTGCATTGGCCCTTGTGCAATAATGCATTTAACAATGCCGAGCAGTAAAGTTGGGGGCACACATTTGTGTATTCCCTCGAAAGCTGCTTTAATTTGATTCCTCTGTGGGATTCCATTAATTTGCAGAGAGAGCACTCTTAACCGCCGGCTGAAAAGTTCATGTTGACCCAGTGCAAAAGTTTCCGGGAAAATGGTAAGAAAAAGCGGAAAACAGTCTGATAATAAAAATCTATATGGCAAACTGACGTCAAACAACTCGAAGAAGTGACAAAGTTCGTTCTATGGAACTTTTTTGAGCACATTTGGCCAGTCGTTTTTCATAATTCTTTGCCTCATTTTCTCTCTGCCTATTAATGCCAGCACCAGAAAAAGGAGGACTGAAAATCAAAAATCAAAGTGCCCTAAATAAAGAGAAGTTTTTAGAAAAGCACCCTCTTTTCCCTCCCCTGCAAAATGATTTTGGCAATTTGTTAACTGCTCAGCGAAAAAGAGAAAAATGGCAAGGGAAAAGCGATGGGAAAATATGAGCTCGGGTTTATGGTTTTTGCTAGTTATGAAAAATGATGATGTGACCATGTGGACAAAACTGTCAAAGGATGTCAGAATCATGCGGTTTAATAATAAAAACCCAAGACAAAGTCACAAGCCAGTCAACAATGGTTGGTCAAGGAAAAGTAGCAAAAATGGGCAACAATCTCAATCTCTTTCGGTTTATTTGTCGCATGATTAATAGTTAAATAATTTGCAACACGAATGGACTTCAATGGACATCATGAGCCAATTATAAGACGTTTGAAAAATGAGCCGGGCATTTGTTGGCCCGCTTCTTGCCACTTCTTGACCACCATTATTCTCGCCCAGCAGGAATGCGAGCGATGCCGCTTTAAGGGTCCTGCCAAATGAAATTAAACCGCAAAAGTGTCTGCTTATGGGGCCGCAGGAATGTCGACGCCTTCGGGGGCAGCCAACAATTGATAATAAAAATTTCGAAAAGTGTCTGATACACGTCAGCTGTTCAGGTCGTTAGTGCTGGAGTGGGTAGAAATGTTGCGAGTTTTTGTGGATGTGGAAATGGATGATGAGAAAGGGGGAGGAAAATCAGTGGCTATATTATACTTACATTCTTGAACCAGGAGTAGCTGGTCACCGGCGGCCTGGCATCTGCCCGGCATTTGAAAGTGACATTCTGGCCCTCGGCCCGTGTCACCAGCCGACTGGGATCCTCGTTGGCCAAGTGCACCGATACCGTTGGCGGATCTGAAAGAGGCAGGCGAATAAGTAAGTGCGGCATCCGGCTTAATGAGCGCAGCGAATGGCTGAATAAAAGTCAAAATAATAAACGGCAATGGCCGAGGAGGTGAACTCGGCGCCCGGACAGCAGCATTGCGTAATGTACTTAGTTCCAGCTGCGGTACATCCTTTGGCCTCCGGAGGCCTCATCTCGTCCCTGGCCTCTTGACCACACGCCAAATGGGACTATTAGTTACGGTTGTAAAAATCTAATACGCGTCGGAGACTGTCGGCGCCAGCCAGTCTTTTGTCCCCCATCCGACGACCGACGTCCATCCTGGGGACTCAACGATAGTGGCTTATTCCACGGTTCTACGGCTGTGAGGAAAATGTCAATGGCGTGGGCTGGCCGGCAGAAAAAATGCTGACGTTTATGGTGAATTATTAAAAGGCAGCACAAAATGAAAAGCGGGTGAATCAAGTCGCCTGCCGGGCTGATTTGAGTGCAGGTAATTCCGCTTTTTATATTTTGATACACTCAAACACGAAGCTAAACCTTGAATAATGTCTGTTAACTCATCATTTAATTATTTTCATTTCTTATTTTGTATATTTTTAAACTAATTTGGAACAAATAATTTGGATACTAATAAAATTTATTTAAAGTAAATGAGGTTGGTTCAAATTCATAAAAAAATGAAGATTGTACTGGTTCTATGTAAAAAAAATTTAAAAAAATAAAATTTATAATATTTTCTTTGAGAGCTATGTTCTTTTGAAGCATTGCATAATTGAACAGTGAGAACACAATATTTGTTTTTGTTATTTAAATAAGCTTATTATTAAACTTTGCCAGGCTGAAAGGTTTTTCTTAACTACTACCAGATAAGTAGTTTTTAGAACTATTCAAATATGTATCCCGTTTTTCGAAGTGCATCCAACCCAACTCTCCTGTATCCGAAGAAACTTAAACGAGAGCAGTGGAGGGAGTAATGTAAAGCGGAAGCCGGAAGCGGATGTTGCAAATATTATGGAGGCCGGCAAAAAATGAGCAATAGAAACATAACGGTGCAAATTTAATCAAGGCAAGTCGAAGAACACGACATTGAAGTCAACTTGACTGCATTTTATAAGCGGCTTAGTGAAAGGTGGCCAACAGGTTGATGTGGCCTCCAGGTAAACTTAGCAGGCTCCGGCTCCTTTTGCTCCTTTTGCTCCTTTGGCCATAATAAAATTACGCTGGCTCTGGCCGTAATATGCTTCTAATTGGACTTTCCTCTACCCAGCCATCACACATACACACACTACACACATAAAGGCCAGGACCTGGCCAGCTTGTGTTGAGGATACACAAAAGCCTCTCCTGGCCATGGCCCCGGATTTAGACCCAGACCCAAATAACCAGAAGCCTTCAGTCCACAGGCCGCATTTCTGCTAAAAACAGACTCCGAGCTAACCTGTCGCAAAGGAGGAATATATCCTGTGTGAACTTACATGCCACCCGGATGACGCGCTTGTCCTCGATGGCGCCACCGGAGAACCAAGGATTCGTGGCCCGACACGTCAGCTCGGCATTATCGTTCTCCGATGTTACCTTCAATGTCAGTATGCTCGTGGTGATATTGCCGTCCTGCGTGGAATAAATGGGAACGAAAAGAAAGGCTTATTAGCTGAAGCTTACTACTGTTTGAATGGAAAAATGTTTAAATGTTAGCCTAAAGGCCTACCATAAAAATGTATAACTAAAATTTGGTTATCTTCGTTTTTGAAGTTTTATATATAAAAACAAAATATTCTCTTACATTAGAGTTAAGCCCAGTTTTTATTGGCTAACTCCAATGTCACTTAAAATTGGTATGAACTCCAGTCGCTTCACTTTGATAAGCTCAAAAGTGATGATTTGCTTTAAGCGTTTTGCTTTTAAATGAGCCTTAAAATTTTGTGAAACCTATACTTTTTTATGGCTGGTATATACCGCTAGTTGATGGACAGCTCTTCGTTAGTTTAGGGTATGTTATGTGGTCTACTCGAGTGGCATTGCCCAGCATGTACTTCGATAATAATGACTCGAATTTCCAGCTAAGCCTTGTGCAGCAGTACCCAGTCAGTCCTCGAAAAAGGAATGGAGAAACGGAGGAGCTCATGGCAAACCGGGTATTAAGTTACGACACCAGCCAGCTCCAGAACCAGAGGCATGCCACGTTTTGGCAACAATCGAAGCCGGGCCAGAAAAACTAACAAGCGTCCTGCTCGTTTTGTGTGGCAATCTGTCCCCAGGATCGAAGAGGACTTGGTTATGCACGACTTGACTAATGCCTGGCGACGTTTGGCAGCATCTATCCATTTACATGGCATAATTAGAGAGCGAAAAAGCCAGTACCACGAAAAGCGACTAATGGACGTCGAAAACTGAGACATCTCCGAAACCAGTGGGAAGGCAGAAGGATCTGATAAATGCTAGCTTGAGTGAAAAAAATTGCTCCCATTTTGCTAACAAATAGTTAGTTGAGGTCCGGCCCCATGAATTCCAATAAAAATTCGCACATTAGCCGAATCAATGGCCGGGGCCATGGAGTGCAAATTTGTGCAGCTTGGCCGAAACTTTTCGCCAGTGCAGTTCATCAAAGAAGCCGAGGCTGGTTGACTATCCTGGCTCGTCCTGCTCCCTGCTCCCTGCTCCTTGTCTCCCTGCGGTTGCTCGAAAAGTTTGCCCTGCTCGCATTTAGGGTCACCCAGTGGTCGCCTGGGTTGCCTTGGTTGCCTTTGTTGTTGCTTGGCTCTGGAGCTATTAAGCGCCGCACAGTTTTATATATGTGAACAAGTGCCTGCTGCACTGCGGCCGGCTATCAAATGTCAAACGCTGAAAGCAAATTTTCCGGCACAAAGTTGCGTTGTCCTGGGAACGGCAACAAGAACGAAAACTTTCTCCTCATCCAGTTTCCGCCTCCGCAGCCCCCGCAAAATAGTCTGACAATTTCGGGCAATTTGGCAAGGACATGCACTCACCTCCTTGTCGCTGTGCACGGTGACCTCGGCATTCCGGATGGGCTCGCCATCGAGCAGCCAGGTGATCTTAGCCGCCGGATACGAGCCCCAGGACTCGCAACGGATGGGCACAGGATGTCCGGCGGTCAGCAGTTCGTTGGGCGTGGCGATCTTCACGCGAACGGGTTTCACTGGAAGGGGACATGTTTGTAATTGTAAGTTTCAAGACTGGTAACTTTAGTTCTAATTATTGCTCGAATTATTTCTATCCTCTTAAAGTTAATCCATGATTTGAATTCCATTTAAAAACAGTAATTAACGATTATACATAGAGACGTTCTATTTTTAAAATGAATTTAATGTTTTAATTTATGCATATTTTTATAAGGACTGCTGAAGCTGAAAACTAATGAACAGTAAAGCACTGGTTATCAAAAAGTGAGTCACTTTTTCTTAATTATTCCTCGTTTCTTAAAGGTGTCAAAAAAATATATTTTATGTTGATAAAGGCCCAAAAACTAGGCACTATATTTCTCACATGAAAGAAGTAATTTCCTGTTAATGATTTATAAAACCTTTTAAAAGAAAAATATTTATTTTTGTTAAATAAAGATTGTCCGATTGTACAACATAGTACAGCAATAAAGGAAATATAAACTTTGGGTCGACGAATCAACTATTGTTTTTGTGACTTCAAGTGAAAATAAAAACCTTTATTTGCTGATAGCTTGCGGAAATGCAATGTAATGAAATGTAAATATTTATTGGGGTGAGACTCACAGTAAACCTGCACGGTGACGTCCTTGCGGACCGGCTCCACCAGTCGCGTTCCCTGCGCCCGGCACTCGATGCGAACGCCATAGAAGTCCCGCGTGGTGGTTCCAATCAGGAGCTGATTAACCATCATGGTGGCACCCTCCTCCACGGAAGTGTGGCTGGTGCCGATGAGCTCCGTGTCGTCGCGCCACCAGGTGACCTTCGGCGGGGGACGTCCTGAAAAGAGGGTGAATTAGCAGTGAGTGGGTAATGGTAGCTGCTCGCTTTCAGCCCGATGCGGGATGTGATGAGCAGGGATGTGCTGCGGGATATGGAGAAGCCTTGCCGGTTGCAATCGACACTCCTGAGTGCGATGGTAAACAATGCGTCAGACTGCGGTCACAGTGGAGCTGACAAACACAGTCAAACGCATGAAAGTTAAGTGGGTCAAACCACCACATCAAGTGCGTTCAAGTGCACAGCAAAAAAGGGGTTTATATGCCGAGGGGACTTATTCACTTTTCGCTATGATGATTAAATAGAATTTAAACATTGGATTTAATTTTTAAGAATATGGTTTTGGGATTATCTTTCAATCTGAATGATTTTTTTTTAAGGCGAACAAACTCAATCACTACTTATTGTTTTATGAGATAATGATATTATTGGTTTACACTCAATATTTTACCATTGGGTGCATTAAATGGTTTTTGTTCTTGTAGTATTATAAATCTGTTTACTCACCTCCCCTCACTTGGCAGCACAGGAAGAGCTCATAGCCCTCGCGGAAGGGTCCTGCCAACTGGGATATCTCCTTGCCCTGGGCATCGAAGATGCGTGGCTCCTCGGGAGGCACTGAAATGGAAAGCAGATAATGTGTCAATTTAGGGATTCAGCGATTTCAGGGGTCACCATATCCAGTACATACCAACTAATGTAAGGTTGTGCCTGAAGTTGCGCGTCGGGGAGTTGAAGAAGTCGACGCGACATCGGTAGACGCCTCCGTCCTCCGGTTTTACATCGTTGATCTGCAGGCGCGAATCCTTGGGATTATCGCCGATGCTGAAGAACAGACGCTGCCCCAGATCGCTAGCTATGGCGGCATGTGGTGCCAGCTTCACATTTCCGCCCCTCGAGTCCAGGCTGTAGTGAAAAAGAAAATCAAGGAGCATGGAGAAAATAAGTGAGGGGGCGTGGCTGCATGTAGCGATTATTAGATGTCATAAATAAACATATGCGAGGAGCATAAGTTGGCCGACGTTCCACCTCGCCGCCCCTCGCATAATTTAGGAGCATAAAAAATGACTCTCAATTTGCACACCATGAGCCAGGAGTTAAGTGCGGAGTGGTCCTTCGTTTGTCTGTGTGCAGGACGAACTCCTGCACACACCACCCAATATCGCGACTTTGCCAGCTTGGCGCAAATTGCAGTAATTTGTTGCTGTTTTAGTAAATTACTCTGTTTATTTCAGGGCCCTGGGGTGGCTATCGCTTTGGGTTCGGCTCCCGCTGCATTTTCTCCGCTTATGATTATCGAGTGCCGGCCACTTCACGTGCATGGCTGACACAGATCCCGGCCCCGTTTGCCATCCATAAAACCCCTTCTAATGAGTGCTCCCGAGTGTTCCCCCGGCTGCGGCACGCAAAGTCGGAAGGCATTTCCACTTGGTATGCAGGGCACACGCGGGCTGCCACAATTTATATTGAAAATTTATCAGCGCAAATTTATAAAAATCCATGTGTGAGGGCCGAATGGCCATGGGTTCACATATGCGTGTGTGCGTGAAAATTTGCTACACTTTAGCAACGACAGCCGTAATCGGATGTGCTTTACATTTATTATAACAAAGTGGATTATGACGGTCGCATCCTTGCCCCAAAACATCCAGACAAGTACACATGTGGCAGCTGCCGGAAATAAGCCAAAAGCGCTCGGCGAGAAAAAAACACGTTAGGTGTACGAAAAAGGGATGTTGACGATTATTTTACGCTGCTGATGGATGGATAAACGGATGGATGGCTGTCTGCTGCGGGACTCGCAGAGTGGATGGTTACGCACCAGTGGCCCCGGTTTTAAGGGGGGGGGGGGGGGTTTTTTACCAAAAGGGGAAAAAAAAATTTTTTTTGAATTCCTGATGTACACTTCCTATTTGAAATGTAACGAACAGTTTTATTTTAAAAGTAACGAAAAGGTAACGACAAGTTTAGCAGCAAAGAGGATCGCGAAAACGACGAGACAAAGACGACGACGAGAGCAAAAGGACGAGGCGATGATATGAAGCAACTAAAGACGAGCGCAGAGTTTAATGAAGGAAGCCGAAGACGACGCATCAAGACGAGAGCAACGACGTTCGCGATTAATTAAAAACTTAATAAAACCTCTAGACACTGTATTTGAAGAAACTGTAAATAATTATCCTAAACCTTAATTAAATATTCTATTAAACTTTAATCAAAACCCCACATTTTGAGGGCTCGCCGGGAGAAAAATAAAACTTTTTTCCGTATTTCGCAAGTGTGTGTGTATCGCAAAAGAGAATCGAAAAACGACGCAAATTTTTTGGCTAAAATTAAATGAAAAGAAGTTGCCGAAATGCCGCAACTTGGTGAAATTATAGCCGGAACTCTAAAATCGAGCAACAAATCGAGCATTGTTGCATTACACAAGTTTGTGTTCGGAAGTGAAGGAGACAGAAACAACCGAAAGAGGCTTCGCGAATTTAATGGTTTTTGCATTAGCAAAGAAAGCGATGAGTACAGGCGCAAATTGGCTTATATTAACGAAAACCTAAGTGACCGTGATCTCGTGAGCATTTGTGGTGTTCTGAAAATAACCCATGAAGTGGATGATATTTTCTCACACATTTTTAACAATCTGCAAAGTGAAAGCCTGCTAGAAGCCACTGGTGACGAAGAAAGTGAGGAAGAGAATGACGAGGATTCAGTAGATGAAGACGATCCTGAGAGAAGTAACCTTTTTAACTCTCAAGTTTTCAATAGTGCCCAAAGCATAATGCAAAACGACAACGTAGCGAGTGTGCAACAGAATGCGAAAAAGTCCGCCAATTCTAAGAACGGGCGGGAAAGTCAGGCAAATGGCGTAGTTCGTGTTTCGGAGAAGAGAGACAGCAGAAACTCTCCGCTTTTTGCTTTGAGTTTTCGTGACGTTGAGGAATCGGTTCGTGTCTTTGATGGTACCGATGTTTTACCCGTGGAGACTTGGTTGCGCGAATTTGACGATACGGCATCTCTAATGTGCTGGAGCGACTTGCAAAAATTAGTGTTCGCTAAAAAATCTTTAAAAGGTATAGCCAAACTTTTTGTCAGCAACGAACGTGGTTTAAACTCATGGGAATCGCTTAAAAATGCTTTGCTTGATGAATTCCGTTCTAATGTAAGCTCCAAGCAAGTTCACAAGCAATTAGACGAAACCAAACGCCGCAAAGACGAAACTGGGTACGAATACTTCTACCGTATGAAGGACACCGCTTCGCGTGGTAGTGTCGAAATAGAAGCGCTTATGCAGTACGTCATTGACGGGATCGACGAACTATCGGTGAATAAATCAATATTGTACGGAGCAAGAAATTTAAGTGAATTTAAAAATAAACTTAAGGACTACCAAACGGAAAGTGATAAACAAAAATCGAAATCAATTAGCTCAATGAAAAACCAAAACGGTCCATTAAAAAGTTACAAAAGAGAGTGCGTTTGTTACAATTGTGGAGAAAAGGGACACGTTTCTAACGACTGCAACAACAAAAAGAAAGGCCCTAAGTGCTTCCAATGCAACGAGTTCGGTCATATTTCGAAAAACTGCGTGAAAAAAGAAAAACCAGCTGCAAATAAATCCAATATGAACCGTGTCCAACCCAAGAACGACATCACTAGCAAAGAAGTGGCATTTGATGGCCAAAAATGTGTAGCTCTATTCGATACGGGCAGCAAGTTTAACATCATACGCGAAGACTTGTATATCGAGATGAACAAGCCAAAACTCGAAAGCTGTGCCATTTTTATAATCGGTTTCGGTAATAGTAACAGCAAAATTCGCCCTATCGGTCGCTTCATGCGTTCAATTGAAATCGACGGTAATGAATATTTTCTAAACTTTTACGTGGTGCCAAACAACTGTGTCGATATAAAATTAATAATCGGAGAAGAACTATGCTTACACGCTGATATTTTATTCGGTCGCAATGGTTTAAGCGTTCGAAAAGTGCATTCGAATACTGAAGAATTTGAAATGAACCTGATGAAAATTGACGTAGTGTCCGAAACTGAACTAAATATAAACAAAGCGGTCAGTGCGAGTGCGCAAACAGATATTAGTGAACTTATATCAAACTATGAGCCACAGAAAATAAAAACAACTGGCGTAGAGATGCTGATCGTTCTCGCTGATGAAAGCCCAATATTTTCGCGACCGCGAAGATTACCATTTGCTGAATCACGCGTAGTCGAAGAGCAAATCGACGAGTGGCTAACATCCGAGATTATCGAGGAATCTAATTCTGAGTTTACGAGTCCAATTGTTCTTGTCAAAAAGAGTGATGGTTCTCATCGACTTTGTGTCGATTACAGACGCATAAATAAGGTAATTATCAAGGACCATTTTCCATTGCCTCTCATAGACGAACAACTAGATCGACTCCAGAACGCTAACATATTCAGCACCATAGACTTGAAAAATGGATTTTTTCACGTGGCAGTTGCTGAGACGAGTCGCAAATGCACCTCTTTTGTGACGCAGAGCGGTCAATATCAGTTTAGGAAGGTCCCGTTTGGAATGTCGAACTCGCCCGGAGTTTTTCAGCGTCATATCAATGCTATTTTTCGACCCCTAACTCAGAGAGGCATCGCGTTGCCCTATATCGACGATATAATCATCCCTTCGAGCGACGAACGAGAGGCATTGTCGAACCTTAAAGAAGTCATCAAAACATGCGAAGAGTATGGCCTAGAGTTGAATATGAAAAAATGTGCTTTTCTTCAAACGCGCATCAAATTTCTGGGTCACATTATTGAGAATCGCAAATTATACCCGAGCACTGAAAAAATAGATGCAGTTACGAAGTTTCCCAATCCTCAAACACTGAAGCAACTTCAAAGCTTTTTAGGTCTGTCTGGGTACTTTCGAAAGTTCATACCCAATTATGCCAGAATTGCGAAACCACTCACGGACATGACAAAGAAGGACACCAAAATCGAAATAGGAATGCACGAGCAGGTCGCGATTGATACTTTGAAGAGAATGTTGACGGAGAGTCCTGTTCTAAGTATCTATAACCAGGATTACGAAACAGAAGTTCATACGGACGCTTCTCAGGATGGATTTGGGGCAGTTCTCATGCAGAAATCTCCGGAAGATGGTCATCTGCACCCCGTTTACTATATGAGCAGGAAGACGACACCGGCTCAAAGAGAGTATCCGAGCTATGAACTGGAAGTCCTTGCTGTTGTGGAAGCTGTCTCCAAGTTTCGAGTCTATCTTTTAGGCAGATTCTTTAAAATTTTCACAGACTGCGACGCATTTAACAAAACGATGCTAAAGAAAGACTTGAATAAAAGGATCAGTCGTTGGGTAATGGCACTTGCAGAGTACAACTGCACAGTTTTCCATCGTCCAGGTGTGCAAATGAGGCACGTGGATGCGCTAAGTCGCCATCCAGTTATGACCATAACCGAAGACAACATCACTCTTGCCATTAAAACAGCACAAGGCCAAGACGAACATCTAAAAGCCGTAAAAGAAATTCTGGACAACGGTGCAATATCGCACGATAACTACTTTATCAGGTCGGGAATTATCTACAAGCTCGTCAATGACATCGAATTGATCGTCGTCCCAAAGGACATGCAGCGTCAAATAATAAGCCGTGCTCATGACAGAGGTCATTTTGCAATAAAGAAAACGAAAGATCTCATTTCCAAAGACTATTTTATCCCAAACATCGAGTCCAAAATTGAAAGGTACATAAACTGTTGTATTCCTTGTATTCTCACAAATCGCAAACGAGGAAAACAAGAAGGTTTTCTACACCCGTTAAGCAAAGATGAAGCTCCGCTGCACACATTTCATGTAGACTTTCTTGGACCCCTTGATTCCACAAGTAAGGACTATAAACATATTTTTGCCGTTATTGACTCATTCACAAAATTCTGTTGGCTA